TGATATAAAGTAATAAAACGAACAAGTGCTTGAACGAATCACTTAAGCGACCAACCGTATCGCTTAAGGATTATTAATAAAGACCAATGATCGCTTAAGCGATTTATGATCGCTTAAGCGATTTTTCCGAGGCAGAATGACATTGCCCAGACTATGATCGCTTAAGCGATCTTTCCTATCGCTTAAGCGATAATTAATAAAAGACCCATTATCGCTTAAGCGATATGCTGCCTTAAGCGATCTTTTCCGAGGCAGAATGACATCTACCCAGACTATGATGCTTAAGCGATTTTCCTATCGCTTAAGCGATATAATAAAAGACCCATTATTGCTTAAGCGATTATGATCGCTAAGCGATCTTTTCCGAGGCAGAATGACATCTGCCCAGACTGTGATCGCTTAAGCGATCTTTCCTACGCTTAAGCGATAATTACTAAAAGACCATGATCGCTAAGCGATTTATAATCGCTTAAGATCTTTTCGAGGCAGAATGACATCTGCTAGACAATGATCGCTTAAGCGACCTCTCGTATCGCTTAAGCGATTATTACTAAAATACGAATGATTGCTTAAGCGACCTCTCGTATCGCTTAAGCGATTATTACAAAAGACACATGATCTTATATGGACAAACCATGCATAGTTAATTGAAACTGCTGATGAATTATCTTATATGGACAAAAAAAAAATATATCCCAAATATCAGATCCAATTCTTTACAATGATCACACCATACATAGTAAATTATTTATAATTTAGTTTTTTATGCCAAACAGTTTAGAAGCCACAGTGAATGGTATCAGGGCAGTCCATGCTTGAAAAGATGCCACGACATCATTCTTCCCGATGCTTTCTGGCTCTGCACTAGCATCCAACAAATTCAAGATGATATCTACAATGCGGAATATGGGGCCTCGGTGACTTTCTGTGGAGATTGACCATTCCATCTTAGTGACCTGCAGTAAAACACCATAATAGAGAAAGGCATGAATTAGAAAATAGCCAAGCCAATGAGAACAAATTAAATAAGCAGTTCTGAAGTACACATCAAAACACCATTGAAAATGAACATGTATATACACCCTTATTGATAATATAACAGGTCACATAAACTCAACTCAAAAACCCAGTATGAACATCAACATCACATAAACTCAAAACGGATCCATCTGCCATGGAAGCAGTCGACAGCCCAGCGCTCCCGACATTCTGTCATTGTTCGTATTCAAGCTGTCCATCGGGCTGTTGGTCAGTCGAACTGAATAAATTTCAGGGCAATGCCCCACATTCAGCGCGCTACAATAGGAAGAAGACATTGCATTTAATAAACTTATAGAACAATGTATTATGTAAGTTAGTTTTAAACAAAATTTACCTTGACTCATTATTTGGCAGGTAGAGCGCTGAATTCGCCACTTTCGGTTAGTACGATCACCCAACTGCCCAAACATCCCGCTGTCACGCAATAGGCGGGGAACACCCGGACGTGGCTCCAACTCGACCTCCAACTGCTTGTCTCGACAAATGGTTGGGTTGCAGTCAAGGATCTTTAGACACCCCTCTCTAGATGCGCAGCGACTGCTATCCAGTGCATCTGTTTGACGAGGATGATGCAGTACACTCTTTTAACAAAGGCCCAACCGTGGCCATATTTGGGCCGATCCCCCCTTACATACTGCATAATCCTATCATCAAACCGGAAATCATCAGGGATGCAATCCGACTCTGGTGCAGCCAATCGGTTTCGCTTCGGTCCTTGCTACACCACTAGCAACGGCTTTTTATAAAGACCGATATGCCGAAACAAGCGTTGCCCAAACGCCACATCGGTGATAGCACAGTCAGGATACAACAGCTCACCATCACTAGTCTGTCGTAGCCTATCAGTGCCAATATCTCATCGATGTGCTACATAAATAAAAACAACAAGATCAGTATGGAAAAACCAGGAAAAATAGGAAAATTAGTGAACATAACTCACAGTCCTCAAGCCACGTCCCCATCGTCAACAACTTCTGAAACCATTCCCGGGATAATCCCTGTCTTACACTTTATATGGCCATCAATTCCCGATCCATTGTAATAGGCATAAAGAGTTTTTTCCTTTCCTCTATTGGCCTATACAAATCGACATTTGAGTCCAATTTCCCTTCCCCACTTCCTCCTTCCTCCAATTTTACATCCCCGCTTCCTTCGCCTCCCAACTCCCTCCTCCATTTCAACCGCCCCACTTCCACCACCAACCTCCTCAACCTCTTCCCTTTCTGGTTGTTCCTCCATTTGTTTCTTCTTTTCTTCTTTTACCTGTGTCACTACCATGTAAGGCGATTTCACAAACTTGCTCTTTCGGCTCTCTCTTTTCAGCCAGTTTGCACTTCAACCGCCTTTAATTCTCCACCAACTTCCTCCTCCATTGTACCAACTTCGCCCTCCATTCTAGCTACTTCCCTCCCACCTTATCCACTTTCTTCTCCACCCTTTTCATTGTTTTTCCATCTGCTCAAGCTTTGCAAAACGGCTGTTGTAAAACTCTCAAACAGGCCGTTGATGAGGTCAAAACCTCATTTCCTACGCCGATGTCTCGGCAAAGAGGGTACTTGTTGTACGGTGCTGAGGCATACGAACCTCTTCCTCCCTCTTCTCTCCTCACTCGGCCCCGAGCTTCATTATCCTCAGCATCAACGACATTGTCAAGTAATGGCCCTGAACTGCCATCACATGCGTGACCCTTTTAGGTCCCGCATCAGGCGGTCTATTGTCATCCCTTTCATCCTCCATTGCTTTGAAAGATGTGACATAGTCCTCTTCCGCTTCATCCCAATAGGGGTCAAAAAGGGACGGACGACTCCCTGCAATAAGAAAAAAAAATCAATCAGATTGAAGCAAAATAAAAAAGCAACTGCATATTCAAAAGCTTAATCCTTCAATCTTACCCCAGCTGCTTGAATCTCAATCTCTAATTGGCCAAATCCCAATGGTTACAGCTCTCGACATGCCACCGCAACATCCTAGGAAATTGCTGTTGCACATTCACATTGTTGCTCCTCCCCCCGCCGCGAAGACAGGGATGGCCTCGTACATCCAAGCCTACATTGTAAAAAACAGTCCATGTCATTATTCAAACACACATATTATAAAAAATATAACATAGAGCTATATATATTTACCTGCATTGCCCATGGGAGCCAAACAAATTATACGTGCTTGGTTTAGCCTTCCGCCCCATTCGGCATGCTAACGCCCTGTTGGTTTTTTCAGGCTCTTGATGGTTCGCTCAAATGATATCCGTCCCCACGGATAGAATTAAAGAACTCCAAGTCGCTTACAAACGAACCAATCTTTCTCAATAGCTTTTGTTGAGTCACCAGCCAATAAGATAGAATGTAAAATAATATCAAGCACATTTTATCTTCTCTGCATCACTAAACCGAACTGTAGATAGCCTCTTCTCTAAAACTTTTCCTGTAATAGACTTGCCCCTTTCAAAACCTTTTACAAAAGTTTATGGCTCCCGCACTTCTTACTGCGTCTGCCTCCGCCTTAGTTGGCACTTTCCCGCATCTAAGCCGTCACCAACCCATACTCCATCATACCAAACCGTAGTGGCTTTCCCTCCACCACGAACCACATTTCATTTTTTTTCTTGCATTTTACTGAGTGCTCAACATGTAATGCACTCCCTGCCCCAAAATGACTTTTTCCACTTTTTTCCAATTCTTAAAAACTGACCGAAATAAGTGTCACCAAAATCTCTTCACCATGCCTCATTCTAGCTAAAATGGCCCTTATTCTGTCAAAAACCTCCCAGCTCGACCTCACCGTCACCTTGCAGGGAAGTAGGGTACCTTCTCACTTATAGGCTCCAACTCGTACTCTCTACAGCTTACGGTCCGCACAATCTGCACAATCGATATAAATAAAATGTCATCAACAAAAATAAACCAAAACCACTGTAGTCGCTTAAGCGATCATGGATCGCTTAAGAGATCTTTATTGTCTCATGCAAGATCGCTTAAGCGATTTTAAATCGCTTAAGCGACCAAAAGTTAACTGAGAATCTCTTAATCTGTGATTCTGCCTAGACCTAAGATCGCTTAAGCCACCAAGAGTAAACACTCATGATTAAGCGATCATTGCTGCGATCACGAGTAAAACAGAATAACGCTTAAGCGAAATTACAAGCAACATCCCAAACTACGTACCTATCTTCGCCGGCCTTCTCCTCGTCGCCTGGATCCTCGGCGACTCCTCCTGCCTGAATTATCGCCGGAATCCACCTCTGGCCTGATTTCTCGGAATCCTCATTCTGGCCTGAAGTCTGCTGACTCCTCGTCTTCAGACCCCTTTGCTGTTCTTCCCTCTGTTCTTGTGCCGCTGGCGTCTCCTCTACGTGTGGACCACTTCAATGGTCAGATGATCGACCGGAGCAGCCATTGAACTGCTTGCGCCACCGGAATCGAGGATTCGAAGTGGCGTTGGGTTGTCGTCGTCATTGTGAGTGTCAGCCATGGTTTTGGATTGAATTTGGTGTGAAAATTGTTGTTTGGATTGGAAATGGGCTGTATCGCCGGAAATCGCGCAGATTCCGTTTATAGTTGAAGAATCGATCTTAGGGTTCAACAAATCGATCGAAATCGCGACTTATCGCCGAAAATCGCGACTGTATTCGGTTTAGGGTTCAAGAAATTGATTTAGGGTGCAAATCAATTGGTGTTGGATCGGAAAAAATCGCGTCTCCTTTCGTTCAAGAAATCGCGTTTTCAACTGATGAATTTCGATTAAGCGACGTGAATAGAGTGTGGGGCTTGTTTTGCGAAATTTCAAATTTTGAAAACTTTCATTATTTCTGATTCGGCCCACATATGTTTTAATCTTTTTATTTTAACCCATTTTACGTGTTTAATTAATCCTAACTATGCCACGTCATCTTCTCTAAATTATAAAATATTTGATGAACAGTTTCGAGGCCATTTTCTTAAATGCATACTGGGGGGACCGGGCAGCGAAATTTTCTCCCACCACAACCCCTATCTTTTTCATTGAAAACACGATTTCTCCTTTCTTTCAAAATGGATCAAAACTTCAACATTTTCCCTCTCAGTGGCCGTGGTTCTCATCCCGAACAGTGAACAGTTCAATAGATCTCTCAAATCAAAGTCACACATTTACATCTACGTTTTACGCTTTGCTTTGAATTAGAGAAGTCTTCAAAGCTCTTTCCTTTTTTATTTTCTAGTTATTTTCCTGGTTCAATTCTGACAAAAGAAGCACCAGGAAAACCCTAGAAAATCGGACTGAACCATTAGTGCTGCCTTCAAATGGGGGACATGCCCAGAAAGATCGACGTGGAGAAGCTAATTTCTTATAGCAACGATCTGGTGGAGGTATTGAAGGACAAAAAGGACCTTAATGGCTTGACTCAGTGTTTGGATCACTCCAAGTCCCTTCACTCCTCCTGTGAAGCTGATTTCAACTCGGTTCTCAACTCCATTCAAGGTATATTTTAATACCTATTTGCGTTTTCTCTGTTATTTTTATCATTCAGATTGAGATTTTAGTGTTCCTTTAGCAAGAATTTTGTTGTTTTCCCCGAAATAGATTAGAAGTATTATCCTTTATATTGTCTCTTCGTTGTAGCCATAGAAAGTGAATTGATAGAGTACCCACTCGTGGGTACAGGTGGCAGGCAAACAAATGCTGGTCGCTGATTTCTTTAATTCTAAGAAAAGAAATTTCAAATCTTGTTGTTTTTGAGATGTTAGGGAATTTATCTTTTGTAACTCATGGCTTATAGTAAACACCTTTTTTCCAAGTCTTTTTCGTGACTTGTAAAAGATTCTTGATAATTCAGAACCTTATCTCTTAAGACTGTTGAGAATCTATTGAGTGCTTGCAAATTTACTACTACCACAATGACTAGAAAAGTGATGGTGCATCAAATGGTCCAGGTTTTGGAGTTGGATAATGTGTGAACCTGGTATCGGTTATCTGTTTGGTAAATTTTATTTATATAATTAACATGCTGTTGACAAATTCTTTTTGTGAAGCAGATTATGAAAAAAAGATTGAAGTTTGCAAGCAGAAAACAGAGCGGGCAAAATCTGAAGTTGCTGCTGAAGCTGAAGTGGGCCATCTTCAGAATGAGCTGGAAGAGGAGCTTGAAAAAGAACGTGTACTCCAGGAGGAACTTAGATAAGTATATAGTTGATTTTAATTCAATGCTTTGGGACAGTTATTTTGTATATGAATGTAACTGATTAGTTATTTATCTGTCATTTTTATCAACACAGCTATCTCCAATGAGATTAAGGATTTAGAACGTCAGAGGATTGTAATTGAAGAACAAAAGCGAGCCTGCAAAAAATCTGAGCAAGGCGAGCTTAGGGCACAGTAAGTGAACAGACAGCATCATAATGTTTGCATTTGTAGTATTTCTTTTATCATTTCCCCTGACATTCTTGTTTGTGTATCGTGCTCATTTATGTTTATACTTGAATTATTTATTGATTGATGTTAGATTGTGTTTGAACAATTTAAACCCTGTAAGTTTCATTTCTTTTGAGAGCAAAATTTACTAGTGATGGTTAATACTTCAACTCTGTAGCATCCATGAAAGTAGACTCTCTTGAATCATCTTTTGTTGGGTTGATTGCCATTTTCTAATTCTTTGAATAAGACTAATAAAATTTTCTTTGATCTTGTAGGATGAAGCTATCAATGTATGCATCAGTCACAAACATTATCCCAAACTTGGATGATCAATCTAAAATTTCAGGCTGTATCCTCTATTCCTTCTTTTATAATATTATTCTCTTTGGTTAGTTTCAGATACGAGGATGTTTATTGCGATGGTATTTGGTTAAACCTTAACTCATAATATATCAGATATAGTGGACAGGGATAAAAATGTGATTAAGAAGTTTAAATACGACCCGGCGAAGCAGACAACATATGATACGTGTGATAACATTTGGAAGACAATAAATTTGTGATAGATATTTGACATTCTTCCCTTCATAAGACAGATGTCATCCATTGTGTGATAATGCTTTCTTGTGCCCTTTCTTGTATTTTGTATCTTTTCCTTTGCATTTTTGAAGCTGTAACTCATTGTAGAGCATTATTTTCCATTTTGAAAATGTGGGTTTCTGGTCAACGGTATATGCAGGCAGGCATCTGGCCTCTTAATGTATTAAATAACATAATAGTTTACAAAAATTTGTTTTCTGTGTATATTTTTAGAGAACATTAGTGCATAATCAACTAAGTTGAAAAAAGGATGACATTGAGGCATTGGTAGTATACTTAAAACTGCAGTTATTGCTCGTATTAATGTCAATATATCGACCACCGTTCTCTTGGCCCCTTCTTATTTTGTGGTTGTGCAGGAGGTTTATGGAAAAAAAGTAAAAAAAATTGTACTATTAAAGACGAGATTCAGGGCTAACTCAACTAAAAAAAAACACCTATCAATAGTGAGAACTAATAATACAACAAAAACAGACTACTTTCAGATCTCCACAGAAAGCAGTAGCCATTGTTACATCACCTAATGCTTCATAATGATACATAATTATTATCCAGAAGAATATAGTGGTATTTCAGTCACAATACAAAATATAATACTATCCATTGAGAGGCCATGAACTATTGTATAATATTATCACTAGATCAGCCATGGTAGACCAAGCAAAAGGCGATGTAGAACTAGAGGAAGAATCATATAAATTATGCCGGTGGTTCCATCTTTGGAACTTTCTTTGCTTCTGCATAGCAGCCTGAATTGTTTGATGTCTCCTTCACAGTTGACATTTGCGAATATGAGCTGCAGGCGTGCGGTACATTATTGCCTTTGTATGCTTTGCAGACATAGGCTGCATAATTTTCATAATCCTGCGCACCCAAATAAAGAAAACAGAAATCATTGTGTGTGTGAATCTGAGAAAAAGAGAGAAAGAGAGGCAGTTTAGGGACTAACGCCTTCGAGTGCACGACCATTTACGACCACCCATGGTACAAATTTATGCTGTGGATGCAGTGCATCTGTTTCATCAGCATACTCCAGTATAAGCTGTTTTCCTCTTCCACTGTTATAGCAATCATCAATGGGTTCCTGACTCAGCCCCAGATCATCAGAACATTGTCTCCACACTGCTTCAGTGTCTTGAATCTTAGGGGCTTGAGTTTCAAGGCAATGGATAAATTTGAAATGTTTCCCCTGCATCATAAACCAGTAAACAATAAAGATCAAGTGAAATTCCCATCTACAATTTCCAAGTTTTATATAGACTAGTTTCTTATTCTTACCACAGGCCAGGCATCGATGGCACAAGCGTGTATAGTATTGAGGTAGCATTCATTTTCGCCGTGCTGCGAAAAAGGATATAAAGGATTAGTTAGAGAAAATCGGGACATTGAATATGCCAAATCTTGAACATAATGAAGATGGAAATCTCACCTGGCAAGTGATGGTGTGGTTAGTTCCTTGGATTTTAGCGTTGCCCCATGGAACCATCTTGAGGTTGACAATAGTGTAAAGATCAGTATTGAAAACATTCACTAGTTTATTTACTATGAAATTAGCACAATATGGGCACAAACTCTCATAATACAGAGAAAGAGTAACTTTCTGAGATGTAAATTTAGCAGCAGCAGCGGCATCCGCTAAGGTATGAGAAGAAGATATGAACCAGAACAGAAGGGTACTGAAAACAAAGAAGGAAAGTAAATGACGAGTACCCATTTCTGAGGGCTTAGTACATTGAATGTCTCACCTTTTGGTGGAGCATTTATAGCTCTTTCAGAACTACTCACTGAGATGTTCCATTTACATTACTAATACTGTCCCTACATTTTAATATTTGAAACAAGTAAAGCTCCAGGATTTCAGACTTCACCCTCCACCCCCCTTTCACGTTTTACTCTTTTTAAAGAAGAAATGAATGGATCCGATGTAGTATACATTCTGGTTGGTCTTTTATAATAACACTTTCCCATCTTTTCTTGCAACTTTTCTGGTTGGAGAGTTAAAAAGATATTTAAATTCTGACTCTCCAAGTAGTTTAATGTCATGTCAGTGTGCAACTAAAGCTTTAAGTGTATTTTAAAAAGAGTAAAAACATTTTATATATGAACTAAAGCATACATTTCTCATTCAGAATTACAGTATATGTTAAACTGCAGACATCAATCTCTATGTTGTTAGTTTAATTGATTAGATTTGATTGGACATTAACTGCCTGCCTTATCTCTAACTCTGTCGGTGAACCTATTAAACAATGAGTACGTGTCATACAAATGTATGTGCTGTAAACTAAGCCTAGTCAGTGAAATCTAAACACCAATACCCAGATCAAATCAAACAGCAAAAGAATCAAGCAACACATAACGATATATCATGATTGGTTTGTTCAATATAAAACAAATTACATTCACGTTGAACTTTAGAATATAAAACTCGCTATATTATGATTAATCACTTCAAATAATACAGATTACAATCAAACCACACTCTCTGCCAATAACACAATCAATCACTCACCTCTCTGCCCTTTATACCCGTAAACCTGTACAACCACTAGAGTGCTCACTACCCTTGAAGAAACTCCCAATCCTCAATCAAGACTCTAGACAGATTCACACAGAAAAGAACCAATTGAGTGACAAACCCTAACCGAGGTCATTATCGTGTTTTTACAGAGAAACCAAAACGAAAACTAACTGTGGCAAAACTAAAAGAAATAGCCTCTTTTATATCGTTGATCATTGAGTGAACTGAAGCCGTCGGATCTTGCTTAATCGATAGGCTAAGATCAACTTGAGTTTAATGAGCAAAACGGCAGCGTTTTACTTGGCTTTAAACGACGTCACAAACTTCATTATTTAACAGTATATATTTATACTTATAACTCAATCTCACAAACTTTCTCCTATAATTTTGACGTAACAGTTCGTAATTAATTTCTAATGAATTTTCCTAACTGACCAATTACAAATTGATTAATTACGAACTGTTACATTGAGATTATGAGATTAAGTTGTGAGTCAATCTTTATTATATATACAATTATCGGCTTATTATGACCCAAGATCATTAAAAAGATCTTGATTATGCATTGTAACACATTCACTGTAAGATTTTTATTCTTGAGAAGGATGATTTGAGCATATGTAAAGAGGTTTAAAGGTACAAATGTTGATTTGTTTTTAAAGGTTTGAATAAGAATCCTGGTATATTCAAACGAAAATCTTTCTATTTGGACGACTTCATTTGTTTTTAATAAGCAGGGTAGCGCCATAACTAACTACCTTTCAACAACTCCATTATCTTTACTTTTGATTAAATTAAATGAAGCTAACAGTGAGAGCTTCTGTTGAGGCTTTAGATTTTGACCTTGCATTGCTTTAATAAAGAAGTTTGTTTCATCAAAAAGAAAATTTGGCAGGACTCTGATTCTGTAAATACAAAACAAAACCAGACTTGATTCTTTATAACTCCATAACTATTATCATTATTATCCAGAAGAATTCGGATACCGAATACATTAGCCAGCCATTATTATATAAATTATTGGACCAGCCAGCGATAATGTATAAGCAGAACCATATAAGAACTTGTGGTTATGGACGTTCCATCTTCATCTCTGATGAGCCTGTAACTTTTTCTTCTTCTTCATAGCTAACTTCACCGGTTAATGTTTCGTTTACAGTTGACTTTTGCCAGTATGATCTACAGGCGTAGGGTCTTTTCCCTCTGTAAGCTTTACAAACATAACTTGTATAGTTTCGGTAATCCTGCATATACAAGATAGAATTAGCTGAATGACTAAAAAAAATTATTCTGGGTGTGTTTGAGTGATAGAGAAAGGTTGCTATCTGGAGACTAACTTCTTGAAGTGGTCGATCATTTACAGTCACCCATGGTATAAATCTCTTTTTCGGAACAAGTTGTTCCGTTTCTTCACCATTCCTCAGTATAAGCTGCAGTTCAAGTTGCAGTAAGTATTATCAGAACATGAACAAATTGGGATTTCTTTGGCTGGAGGGAAGAAGATGAATGAATGAAATAAACCTTTTTTCCTTCTCCGCTTCGGTAGCAATGGTCAATGGGATCTTGACTCAGCTCCAGATCATCACTACATCCTCTCCACACTGCCTCGGAGGCTAGAAACGATAAGTCTTGACTTTCAATGCAATGGATAAATTTGAAGTGTTTTTCCTGCATCATATATAACAAATAAATGATAAAGATTAAGTGCCACCATTGGAGAGAGCATACTGGAAAAAGCAAGGTCTTACCGCAGGCCAGACATTGACGGCACACGCCTGAATAGTATTCAGGTAGCATTCACTTGGGCCGTTCTGCAAAAAGAAGAATGAAAAAGATCAATGTATTATTATGTGCCCAGCAGAGGAAAATTTACATTTATTAAGTGCCAAATCTTCAAACTTATGAAGATAAAATGGGACCTGACAAATGATGGTTTCGTTAAATATTCTTAATTTTCGAGCGTTGCCCCAGGGAACCATCCTGAGGCTGACAATTTTGTGAAGATCAGTATCAAACATTTCCCCCAATTTATTTACAATGAAATTGCGGCAGTTTCGATTGAGACTTTCATAATATAAAGAAAGAGTAACTTTCTTAGGTTTGGGAGGATTTTGATACTCAGCAACTTCATTATCTGCCATGGAATGAGATTGAGAGATGAATAAACACAGCAGGGTACTGAGAACCAAAAAGGAGACGAAATCCGCCATTTCTGAGAGCTTAGTACTATGAAATTTCTCACAGTTGGGGTGGGGCATTTATAGCTCTTGCAACTACTCAATGAGTTCTTCTTCTTCAATATGTTACCTATAATGTCCTTATGATTTAATAATTGAAACAAGTGAACCTGTTTCCAAACCCCAACTCCCCTTCACATTTTAATCTGTTTACAGAAGAAAAATGATGAATTAGATGTGGGATATACATTCTGGTGGGTCTTGTATAAATAAAACCTTTTCTACTTTCCTAGTTGACATGATTTCTTCTTTATAGAATAATTAAAAACCTATTTGCCATAGGTAAGTCAAAGAATTTGCAAAAGATTTGATGGTAATATTCCAGGGATCCGGAACAGGATTAAACAAGCATGAGGAGTTCAGATAAAGGACTCATTACAACTACCAGCACTTGTTTGTGGTTGGATAAGTTTCTGAACCACAGTTTTGCAAGATGATGATAAAATTTTTAGAGCAAATTACTGTTGGGTTTACAAGCTGGAGAATGCAAAGGAAAGAACGCACTTATTTTGCGGAGATAAATTTTTCCTGTTTTGTCTAAGTTTAACTCACTTATTCTTATGTCAACTTATCTCCTTTTCATTAACTTTAAACAAGCCTTATATACATCATGGACATACTAACTCTGCAACATATTAAATGTTAACCTAAACTGCAAGGATATTTGCAAGATACTATTACAGAGCCATACATTCTTAACTACTTCAAAAACTGTCAGTCTTATCATTTCTAAAAATCAGCTAAACCACTTCGGTTATTTGACCTGACAGCATTTAGATCGGCTCTGAATCAATGACCTCTTTCAGGCAGGTCACATAATGCTTTTGATCGCATGCTTATATGGTCGCATGGACACTTTCCTATATTGCTTCCAGATCGTATTACCTTCTGGTCGCATGCTCATGATCACATCTACTTTAGTTTGCATCCTTCTCATCTTGCACATTTGATCGCAAGCTTCAAATCGCGAAGCCTTCAAATCGCTTTCCTCGTATTTCCAGAAAGACATCACTTGCTTTAACAATTACATTAAATGTTGTTTCGAAAACAATGAGAAACAGTTCCTCTGCTGATATGTTGCCTTTGCCTTTAAACTTGTAGTCTTATTGACGCTCATTATTTTCAACCAGGAAGGTCTTGAAACCCATGAGTAGCAGCTTCTAGATACATCCATGTAGAACAGGATGACACTTTGTACATTTCTTTTCATTTGCTCCATTATGTATTCAACAGAAAATTTTGAAGCTTTCTACAAACTTGGGTCAAACTTTGAATGTATTGATGGAAGAAGTGATTTCAGGACAGTTTAAACTTTACTAAAGCACATGAAATGATGCAAACGTCGCCAAAGCGATAATTCCTTGATTCAAACATAGTTGAATGAAAGCAGTGTGGTTCCATGACCAGATGTTATAATTTGGTCATCAATTCTAACGGATCTTAGCTAACTAATTTCCTACAGGTTTTTATGATCATAATGAGTTTTGTGTAAATCTTGGTCATAGAGAGTTTCAAATTCACTGGAGAAGGAACGTCGTGTAATGTCATCCATAATACAAAAAATATAAAAGACTTATCTAAATAGAAGTAACTTTTCATTGATTCCGATAGAAACACATGATTTCACTTCTGCTCTTTCCAAATTTAGAGTTAAAAACAACCTAAACACTGATAACCAACTAGGTCAATTATTCTACTTACATGCTAACAGTGATGAACCAGCCAACAAAGGAAGAAGCTTTAACTTCTTCCAATAAGTCCATTCATGGCTTAGAAATGGCTTGCTTCCTTAGCATAGCAGACAGGAGTGCTTGAAATTGCATTCTCAGTAGCTTTGGCCTTGACTGGTGGCAGTGATTTGCAAAACTCTGGAACTTGACTGCCTTTGTAAGCTTTACAGATATAAACTAAAAAATACTGAAGATACTGCACCAAGAAAGTTGTAGATAATGAGAGAGTGAATGAGTGGGTGAATGAGAGAAAGAAAGAGAGGTTGGAGAGTTACTTCAACGTGTTTGTCATTAACGGTCAGCCATGGTACATAATCATGAGGCGGAGTTTCATACTAATAATACAACAAAAACAAACTACTTTCAGATCTTCACAGAAAGCAGTAGCCATTGTTACATCACCTAATGCTTCATAATACATAATTATTATCCAGAAGAATATAGTGGTATTTCATCACAATACAAAATATAATACTATCCATTGAGAGGCCATGAACTATTGTATAATATTATCACTAGATCAGCCAGTGTAGACCAAGCAAAGGCGATGTAGAACTAGAGGAAGAATCATTAAATTATGCCGGTGGTTCCATCTTTGGAACTTTCTTTGCTTCTGCATAGCAGCCTGAATTGTTTGATTTCTCCTTCACAGTTAACATTTGCGAATATGAGCTGCAGGCGTGCGGTACAGTATTGCCTTTGTATGCTTTGCAGACAGGCTGCATAATTTTCATAATCCTGCGCACCCAAATAAAGAAAACAGAAATCAGTTGTGTGTGAATCTGGAAAAAAAAGAGAGAAAGAGAGGCAGTTTAGGGACTAACGCCTTCGAGTGCACGACCATTACGACCACCCATGGTAAAATTTATGCTGTGGATGCGTGCATCTGTTTCATCAGCATACTCCAGTATAAGCTGTTTTCCTCTTCCACTGTTATAGCAATCATCAATGGGTTCCTGACTCAGCCCCAGATCATCAGAACATTGTCTCCACACTGCTTCAGTGTCTTGAATCTTAGGGGCTTGAGTTTCAAGGCAAGGATAAATTTGAAATGTTTCCCCTGCATCATAAACCAGTAAACAATAAAGATCAAGTGAAATCCCTCTACATTTCCAAGTTTTATATAGACTAGTTTCTTATTCTTACCACAGGCCAGGCATCGATGGCACAAGCGTGTATGTATTGAGGTAGCATTCATTTTCGCCGTGCTGCGAAAAAGGATATAAAGGATTAGTTAGAGAAAATCGGGACATTGAATATGCCAAATCTTGAACATAATGGATGGAAATCTCACCTGCAAGTGATGGGTGGTTAGTTCCTTGGATTTTAGCGTTGCCCCATGGAACCCTTTGAGGTTGACATAGTGTAAGATCAGTATTGAAAACATTCACTAGTTTATTACTATGAAATTAGCACAATATGGGCACAAACTCTCTAATACAGAGAAGAGTAACTTTCTGAGATGTAAATTTAGCAGCAGCAGCGGCATCCGCTAAGGTATGAGAAGAAGATATGAACCAGAACAGAAGGGTACTGAAAACAAAGAAGGAAAGTAAATGACAGTACCCATTTCTGAGGCTAGTACATGAATGTCTACCTTTGGTGGAGCATTTATAGCTCTTGCAGAATTACTCACTGAGATGTTCCATTTACATTACAATACGTCCCTACATTTTAATATTTGAAACAAGTAAAGCTCCAGGATTTCAGATTTCACCCTCGACCCCTTTCACGTTTTACTCTTTTTAAAGAAGAATGAATGGATCCGATGTAGTATACATTCTGGTTGGTCTTTTATAATAACACTTTCCCATCTTTTCTTGCAACTTTTCTGGTTGGAGAGTTAAAAAGATATTTAAATTCTGACTCCTCCAAGTAGTTTAATGTCATGTATCAGTGGTGCAACTAAAGCTTTAAGTGTATTTTAAAAAGAGTAAAAACATTTTATATATGAACTAAAGCATACATTTCTCATTCAGAATTACATATATGTTAAACTGCAGACATCAATCTCTATGTTGTTAGTTTAATTGATTAGATTGATTGGACATTAATGCCTGCCTTATCTCTAACTCTGTCGGTGAACCTATTAAACATTGGTACGTGTCATACAATGTATGTTGTAAACTAAGCCTAGTCAGTAAATCTAAACACCAATACAGATCAAATCAAACAGCAAAGAATCAAGCAACACACAACGATATATCATGATTGGTTGTTCAATATAAAACAAATTACATTCCGTTGAACTTTAGAATATAATACTCGCTATATATTAATCACTTAAATAATACAGATTACAATCAAACCAACTCTCTGCCAAAACACAATCAATCACTCACCTCTCTCCCTTTATACCGTAAACCTGTACAACCACTAGAGTGCTCACTACCCTTGAAGAAACTCCCAACCTCAATCAAGACTCTAGACAGATTCACACAGAAAGAACCATTGAGTGACAAACCCTAACCGAGGTCATATCGTGTTTTTACAGAGAAACCAAACGAAACCTGTGCAAAACTAAAGAAATAGCCTCTTTTATATCGTTGATCATTGAGAACTGAAGCCGTCGGATCTGCTTATCGATAGGCTAAGTCAACTTGAGTTTAATGAGCAAAACGGCAGCGTTTTACTTGGCTTTAACACGTCACAAACTTCATTATTTAACAGTATATTTTATACTTATAACTCAATCTCACAAACTTTCTCCTATAATTTTGACGTAAAGTTCGTAATTAATTTCTATGAATTTTCCTAACTGACCAATTAAAATTGATTAATTACGAACTGTTACATTGAGATTATGAGATTAAGTTGTGATCAATCTTTATTATATATACAATTATCGGCTTATTATGACCCAAGATCATTAAAAAGACTTGATTATGCATTGTAACACATTCACTGTAAGATTTTTATTCTTGAGAAGGATGATTTGGACATTGTAAAGAGGTTTAAAGGTACAAATGTGATTTGTTTTTAAAGTTTGAATAAGAATCCTGGTATATTCAAACGAAAATCTTTCTATTGGACGACTTCATTTGTTTTTAATAAGCAGGGTGCGCCATAACTAACTACCTTTCAACAACTCCATTATCTTTACTTTTGATTAAATTAAATGAAGCTAACAGTGAGAGCTTCTGTTGAGCTTTAGATTTTGACCTTGCATTGCTTTAATAAAGAAGTTTGTTTCATCAAAAAGAAAATTGGCAGGACTCTGATTCTGTAAATACAACAAAACCAGACTTGATTCTTTATAACTCCTAACTATTATCATTATTATCCAGAAGAATTCGGATACCGAATACATTAGCCAGCCATTATTATATAAATTATTGGACCAGCCAGCGATAATGTATAAGCAGAACCATATAAGAACTTGTGGTTATGGACGTTCCATCTTCATCCTGATGAGCCTGTAACTTTTTCTTCTTCTTCATAGCTAACTTCACCGGTTAATGTTTCGTTTAAAGTTGACTTTTGCCAGTATGTCTACAGGCGTAGGGTCTTTTCCTCTGAGCTTTACAAACATAACTTGTATTTCGGTAATCCTGCATATACAAGATAGAATTAGCTGAATGACTAAAAAAAATTATTCTGGGTGTGTTGAGTGTAGAGAAAGGTTGCTATCTGGAGACTAACTTCTTGAAGTGGTCGATCATTTACAGTCACCCATGGTATAAATCTCTTTTTGGAACAAGTTGTTCCGTTCTTCACCATTCCTCAGTATAAGCTGCAGTTCAAGTTGCAGTAAGTATTATCAGAACATGAACAAATTGGGATTTCTTTGGCTGGAGGAGAAGAATGAATGAATGAATAAACCTTTTTTCCTTCTCCGCTTCGGTAGCAATGGTCAATGGGATCTTGACTCAGCTCCAGATCATCACTACATCCTCTCCACACTGCCTCGGAGGCTAGAAACGATAAGTCTTGACTTTCAATGCATGGTAAATTTGAAGTGTTTTTCCTGCATCATATATAACAAATAAATGATAAAGATTAAGTGCCACCATTGGAGAAGCATACTGGAAAAAGCAAGGTCTTACCGCAGGCCAGACATTGACGGCACACGCCTGAATAGTATTCAGGTAGCATTCACTCTTTTTCATTGAAAACACGATTTCTCCTTTCTTTCAAAATGGATCAAAACTTCAACATTTTCCCTCTCAGTGGCTGTGGTTCTCATCCCGGACAGTGAACAGTTCAATAGATCTCTCAAATCAAAGTCACACGTTTACATCTACGTTTTACGCTTTGCTTTGAATTAGAGAAGTCGTCAAAGCTCTTTCCTTTTTTATTTTCTAATTATTTTCCTGGTTCAATTCTGACAAAGGAAGAACCAGGAAAACCCTAGAAAATCAGACTGAACGATTAGTGCTGCCTTAAGATGGGGGACATGCCCAGAAAGATCGACGTGGAGAAGCTAATTTCTTATAGCAACGATCTGGTGGAGGTATTGAAGGACAAAAAGGACCTTAACGGCTTGACTCAGTGTTTGGATCACTCCAAGTCCCTTCACTCCTCCTGTGAAGCTGATTTCAACTCGGTTATCAACTCCATTCAAGGTATATTTTAATAGCTATTTGCGTTTTCTCTGTTATTTTTATCATTCAGATTGAGATTTTAGTGTTCCTTTAGCAAGAATTTTGTTGTTTTCCCCGAAATAGATTAGAAGTATTATCCTTTATATTGTCTCTTCGTTGTAGCCATAGAAAGTGAATTGATAGAGTACCCACTCGTGGGTACAGGTGGCAGGCAAACAAATGCTGGTCGCTGATTTCTTTAATTCTAAGAAAAGAAATTTCAAATCTTGTTGTTTTTGAGATGTTAGGGAATTTATCTTTTGTAACTCATGGCTTATAGTAAACACCTTTTTTCCAAGTCTTTTTCGTGACTTGTAAAAGATTCTTGATAATTCAGAACCTTATCTCTTAAGACTGTTGAGAATCTATTGAGTGCTTGCAAATTTACTACTACCACAATGACTAGAAAAGTGATGGTGCATCAAATGGTCCAGGTTTTGGAGTTGGATAATGTGTGAACCTGGTATCGGTTATCTGTTTGGTAAATTTTATTTATATAATTAACATGCTGTTGACAAATTCTTTTTGTGAAGCAGATTATGAAAAAAAGATTGAAGTTTGCAAGCAGAAAACAGAGCGGGCAAAATCTGAAGTTGCTGCTGAAGCTGAAGTGGGCCATCTTCAGAATGAGCTGGAAGAGGAGCTTGAAAAAGAACGTGTACTCCAGGAGGAACTTAGATAAGTATATAGTTGATTTTAATTCAATGCTTTGGGACAGTTATTTTGTATATGAATGTAACTGATTAGTTATTTATCTGTCATTTTTATCAACACAGCTATCTCCAATGAGATTAAGGATTTAGAACGTCAGAGGATTGTAATTGAAGAACAAAAGCGAGCCTGCAAAAAATCTGAGCAAGGCGAGCTTAGGGCACAGTAAGTGAACAGACAGCATCATAATGTTTGCATTTGTAGTATTTCTTTTATCATTTCCCCTGACATTCTTGTTTGTGTATCGTGCTCATTTATGTTTATACTTGAATTATTTATTGATTGATGTTAGATTGTGTTTGAACAATTTAAACCCTGTAAGTTTCATTTCTTTTGAGAGCAAAATTTACTAGTGATGGTTAATACTTCAACTCTGTAGCATCCATGAAAGTAGACTCTCTTGAATCATCTTTTGTTGGGTTGATTGCCATTTTCTAATTCTTTGAATAAGACTAATAAAATTTTCTTTGATCTTGTAGGATGAAGCTATCAATGTATGCATCAGTCACAAACATTATCCCAAACTTGGATGATCAATCTAAAATTTCAGGCTGTATCCTCTATTCCTTCTTTTATAATATTATTCTCTTTGGTTAGTTTCAGATACGAGGATGTTTATTGCGATGGTATTTGGTTAAACCTTAACTCATAATATATCAGATATAGTGGACAGGGATAAAAATGTGATTAAGAAGTTTAAATACGACCCGGCGAAGCAGACAACATATGATACGTGTGATAACATTTGGAAGACAATAAATTTGTGATAGATATTTGACATTCTTCCCTTCATAAGACAGATGTCATCCATTGTGTGATAATGCTTTCTTGTGCCCTTTCTTGTATTTTGTATCTTTTCCTTTGCATTTTTGAAGCTGTAACTCATTGTAGAGCATTATTTTCCATTTTGAAAATGTGGGTTTCTGGTCAACGGTATATGCAGGCAGGCATCTGGCCTCTTAATGTATTAAATAACATAATAGTTTACAAAAATTTGTTTTCTGTGTATATTTTTAGAGAACATTAGTGCATAATCAACTAAGTTGAAAAAAGGATGACATTGAGGCATTGGTAGTATACTTAAAACTGCAGTTATTGCTCGTATTAATGTCAATATATCGACCACCGTTCTCTTGGCCCCTTCTTATTTTGTGGTTGTGCAGGAGGTTTATGGAAAAAAAGTAAAAAAAATTGTACTATTAAAGACGAGATTCAGGGCTAACTCAACTAAAAAAAAACACCTATCAATAGTGAGAACTAATAATACAACAAAAACAGACTACTTTCAGATCTCCACAGAAAGCAGTAGCCATTGTTACATCACCTAATGCTTCATAATGATACATAATTATTATCCAGAAGAATATAGTGGTATTTCAGTCACAATACAAAATATAATACTATCCATTGAGAGGCCATGAACTATTGTATAATATTATCACTAGATCAGCCATGGTAGACCAAGCAAAAGGCGATGTAGAACTAGAGGAAGAATCATATAAATTATGCCGGTGGTTCCATCTTTGGAACTTTCTTTGCTTCTGCATAGCAGCCTGAATTGTTTGATGTCTCCTTCACAGTTGACATTTGCGAATATGAGCTGCAGGCGTGCGGTACATTATTGCCTTTGTATGCTTTGCAGACATAGGCTGCATAATTTTCATAATCCTGCGCACCCAAATAAAGAAAACAGAAATCATTGTGTGTGTGAATCTGAGAAAAAGAGAGAAAGAGAGGCAGTTTAGGGACTAACGCCTTCGAGTGCACGACCATTTACGACCACCCATGGTACAAATTTATGCTGTGGATGCAGTGCATCTGTTTCATCAGCATACTCCAGTATAAGCTGTTTTCCTCTTCCACTGTTATAGCAATCATCAATGGGTTCCTGACTCAGCCCCAGATCATCAGAACATTGTCTCCACACTGCTTCAGTGTCTTGAATCTTAGGGGCTTGAGTTTCAAGGCAATGGATAAATTTGAAATGTTTCCCCTGCATCATAAACCAGTAAACAATAAAGATCAAGTGAAATTCCCATCTACAATTTCCAAGTTTTATATAGACTAGTTTCTTATTCTTACCACAGGCCAGGCATCGATGGCACAAGCGTGTATAGTATTGAGGTAGCATTCATTTTCGCCGTGCTGCGAAAAAGGATATAAAGGATTAGTTAGAGAAAATCGGGACATTGAATATGCCAAATCTTGAACATAATGAAGATGGAAATCTCACCTGGCAAGTGATGGTGTGGTTAGTTCCTTGGATTTTAGCGTTGCCCCATGGAACCATCTTGAGGTTGACAATAGTGTAAAGATCAGTATTGAAAACATTCACTAGTTTATTTACTATGAAATTAGCACAATATGGGCACAAACTCTCATAATACAGAGAAAGAGTAACTTTCTGAGATGTAAATTTAGCAGCAGCAGCGGCATCCGCTAAGGTATGAGAAGAAGATATGAACCAGAACAGAAGGGTACTGAAAACAAAGAAGGAAAGTAAATGACGAGTACCCATTTCTGAGGACTCAGTACATTGAATGTCTCACCTTTTGGTGGAGCATTTATAGCTCTTTCAGAACTACTCACTGAGATGTTCCATTTACATTACTAATACTGTCCCTACATTTTAATATTTGAAACAAGTAAAGCTCCAGGATTTCAGACTTCACCCTCCACCCCCCTTTCACGTTTTACTCTTTTTAAAGAAGAAATGAATGGATCCGATGTAGTATACATTCTGGTTGGTCTTTTATAATAACACTTTCCCATCTTTTCTTGCATCTTTTCTGGTTGGAGAGTTAAAAAGATATTTAAATTCTGACCCTCCAAGTAGTTTAATGTCATGTCAGTGTGCAACTAAAGCATGTAAGTGTGCAACTAAAGCTTTAAGTGTATTTTAAAAAGAGTAAAAACATTTTATATATGAACTAAAGCATACATTTCTCATTCAGAATTACAGTATATATTAAACTGCAGACATCAATCTCTATGTTGTTAGTTTACTTGATTAGATTGGATTGGACATTAAGTGCCTGCCTTATCTCTAACTCTGTCGGTGAACCTATTAAATAATTAGTACGTGTCATGCAAATGTATGTGTTGTAAACTAAGCCTAGCCAGTCAAATCTAAACACCAATACTGAGATCAAATCTAACAGCAAATTAATCAAGCAACACACAACGATATACCATGGTTGGCTGGTTCAATAGAAAACAAGTTATATCTATGTTCTGCTTTAGAATATGGAGTTCGCTGCACTATGATTAATCACTTTGAATAATACAGATTACAATCAAACCATACTCTCTGCCAACAACATAATCAATCACTCACCTCTCTCCCCTTTATACCTACAAACCTGTACAACCACTAGAGTGCTCACTACCCTTGAAGAAACTCCCAACCTTCAATCAAGACTCTAGACAGATTCACACAGTGAAGAACCAATTGAGTGACAAACCCTAACCCAGGTTACTATTGTGTTTTTACAGAGAAACCAAAATGAAAACTAACTATAGCAAAACTGAGAAAAATAGCCTCTTTTATATCTTGCTTAATCGATAGGCTGAGATCAACTTGAGTTTAATGAGCAAAATGGCGGCGTTTTACTTGGCTTTAAACGACATCACAAACTTCATTATTTAACAGTACATATTTATACTTATAACTCAATCTCACAAACTTTCTCCTACAATTTTGACGTAATAGTTCGTAATTAATTTCTGATGAATTTTCCTAACTGACTAATTACAAATTGATCAATTACGAATTGTTACATTGAGGTTATAAGATTGAGTTGTGAATCAATCTTTATTATATATACAATTATCGGCTTATTATGACCCAAGATCATTAAAAAGATCTTGATTATGCATTGTAACACATTCACTGTAAGATTTTTATTCTTGAGAAGGATGATTTGAGCATCTGTAAAGAGGTTTAAAGGTACAAATGTTGATTTGTTTTTAAAGGTTTGAATAAGAATCCTGGTATATTCAAACGAAAATCTTTCTATTTGGACGACTTCATTTGTTTTTAATAAGCAGGGTGGCGCCATAACTAACTACCTTTCAACAACTCCATTATCTTTACTTTTGATTAAATTAAATGAAGCTAACAGTGAGAGCGTCTGTTGAGGCTTTAGATTTTGACCTTGCATTGCTTTAATAAAGAAGTTTGTTTCATCAAAAAGAAAATTTGGCAGGACTCTGATTCTGTAAATACAAAACAAAACCAGACTTGATTCTTTATAACTCCATAACTATTATCATTATTATCCAGAAGAATTCGGATACCGAATACATTAGCCAGCCATTATTATATAAATTATTGGACCAGCCAGCGATAATGTATAAGCAGAACCATATAAGAACTTGTGGTTATGGACGTTCCATCTTCATCTCTGATGAGCCTGTAACTTTTTCTTCTTCTTCATAGCTAACTTCACCGGTTAATGTTTCGTTTACAGTTGACTTTTGCCAGTATGATCTACAGGCGTAGGGTCTTTTCCCTCTGTAAGCTTTACAAACATAACTTGTATAGTTTCGGTAATCCTGCATATACAAGATAGAATTAGCTGAATGACTAAAAAAAATTATTCTGGGTGTGTTTGAGTGATAGAGAAAGGTTGCTATCTGGAGACTAACTTCTTGAAGTGGTCGATCATTTACAGTCACCCATGGTATAAATCTCTTTTTTGGAACAAGTTGTTCCGTTTCTTCACCATTCCTCAGTATAAGCTGCAGTTCAAGTTGCAGTAAGTATTATCAGAACATGAACAAATTGGGATTTCTTTGGCTGGAGGTAAGAAGATGAATGAATGAAATAAACCTTTTTTCCTTCTCCGCTTCGGTAGCAATGGTCAATGGGATCTTGACTCAGCTCCAGATCATCACTACATCCTCTCCACACTGCCTCGGAGGCTAGAAACGATAAGTCTTGACTTTCAATGCAATGGATAAATTTGAAGTGTTTTTCCTGCATCATATATAACAAATAAATGATAAAGATTAAGTGCCACCATTGGAGAGAGCATACTGGAAAAAGCAAGGTCTTACCGCAGGCCAGACATTGACGGCACACGCCTGAATAGTATTCAGGTAGCATTCACTTGGGCCGTTCTGCAAAAAGAAGAATGAAAAAGATCAATGTATTATTATGTGCCCAGCAGAGGAAAATTTACATTTATTAAGTGCCAAATCTTTAAACTTATGAAGATAAAATGGGACCTGACAAATGATGGTTTCGTTAAATATTCTTAATTTTCGAGCGTTGCCCCAGGGAACCATCCTGAGGCTGACAATTTTGTGAAGATCAGTATCAAACATTTCCCCCAATTTATTTACAATGAAATTGCGGCAGTTTCGATTGAGACTTTCATAATATAAAGAAAGAGTAACTTTCTTAGGTTTGGGAGGATTTTGATACTCAGCAACTTCATTATCTGCCATGGAATGAGATTGAGAGATGAATAAACACAGCAGGGTACTGAGAACCAAAAAGGAGACGAAATCCGCCATTTCTGAGAGCTTAGTACTATGAAATTTCTCACAGTTGGGGTGGGGCATTTATAGCTCTTGCAACTACTCAATGAGTTCTTCTTCTTCAATATGTTACCTATAATGTCCTTATGATTTAATAATTGAAACAAGTGAACCTGTTTCCAAACCCCAACTCCCCTTCACATTTTAATCTGTTTACAGAAGAAAAATGATGAATTAGATGTGGGATATACATTCTGGTGGGTCTTGTATAAATAAAACCTTTTCTACTTTCCTAGTTGACATGATTTCTTCTTTATAGAATAATTAAAAACCTATTTGCCATAGGTAAGTCAAAGAATTTGCTAAAGATTTGATGGTAATATTCCAGGGATCCGGAACAGGATTAAACAAGCATGAGGAGTTCAGATAAAGGACTCATTACAACTACCAGCACTTGTTTGTGGTTTGGATAAGTTTCTGAACCACAGTTTTGCAAGATGATGATAAAATTTTTAGAGCAAATTACTGTTGGGTTTACAAACTGGAGAATGCAAAGGAAAGAACGCACTAATTTTGTGGGAGATAATTTTTTCTTGTTTTGTCTAACTCACTTATTCTTATGTCAACTTATCTCCTTTTCATTAACTTTAAACAAGCCTTATATACATCATGGACATACTAACTCTGCACAGCATTAAATGTTAACCTAAACTGCAAGGATATTTACAAGATACTATTACAGAACCATACATTCTTAACTGCTTAAAAACTGTCAGTCTTGTCATTCCTAAAAATCAGCTAACCCACTCCGGTTATTTGACCTGACAGCATTTAGATCGGCTTTGAATCAGTGACCTCTTTCAGGCAGGTCGCATAATGCTTTTGATCGCATGGACACTTTCATGTATTGCTTCCAGATCGTATTACCTTCTGGCCGCATGCTCATTACGACACATGCTCATGATCACATCTACTTTAGCTTGCATCCTTCTCATCTTGCACATTTGTTCGCAAGCTTCAAATCACAAAGCCTTCAATCGCTTTCCTCATACTTCCAGAAAGATATCACTTGCTTTAACAATTACATTAAATGTTGTTTCGAAAACAATGAGAAACAGTTCCTCTGCTGATATGTTGCCTTTGCCTTTAAACTTGTAGTCTTATTGACGCTCATTATTTTCAACCAGGGAGGTCTTGAAACCCATGAGTAGCAGCTTCTAGATACATCCATGTAGAACAGGATGACACTTTGTACATTTCTTTTCATTTGCTCCATTATGTATTCAACAGAAAATTTTGAAGCTTTCTACAAACTTGGGTCAAACTTTGAATGTATTGATGGAAGAAATGATTTCAGGACAGTTTAAACTTTACTAAAGCACATGAAATGATGCAAACGTCGCCAAAGCGATACTTCCTTGAGTCAAACATAGTTGAATGAAAGCAGTGTGGTTCCATGACCAGATGTTATAATTTGGTCATCAATTCTAACAGATCTTAGCTAACTAATTTCCTACAGGTTTTTATGATCATAATGAGTTTTGTGTAAATCTTGGTCATAGAGAGTTTCAAATTCACTGGAGAAGGAACTTCGTGTAATGTCATCCATAATACAAAAAATATAAAAGACTTATCTAAATAGAAGTAACTTTTCATTGATTCCGATAGAAACACATGATTTCACTTCTGCTCTTTCCAAATTTAGAGTTAAAAACAACCTAAACACTGATAACCAACTAGGTCAATTATTCTACTTATATGCTAACAGTGATGAACCAGCCAACAAAGGAAGAAGCTTTAACTTCTTCCAATAAGTCCATTCATGGCTTAGAAATGGCTTGCTTCCTTAGCATAGCAGACAGGAGTGCTTGAAATTGCATTCTCAGTAGCTTTGGCCTTGACTGGTGGCAGTGATTTGCAAAACTCTGGAACTTGACTGCCTTTGTAAGCTTTACAGATATAAACTAAAAAATACTGAAGATACTGCACCAAGAAAGTTGTAGATAATGAGAGAGTGAATGAGTGGGTGAATGAGAGAAAGAGAGAGAGGTTGGAGAGTTACTTCAACGTGTTTGTCATTAACGGTCAGCCATGGTACATAATCATGAGGCGGAGTTTCATTGCGGTATTTAAGCTCAAGCTGCGTATTAATTGAATTGAAGATCAGAAAAAGTCCATTATAGGGATAGAAAAAGCAATGTATTTTATGATAAAGCATTTGAAAGAACCGAGTGAAAAAGAAGTACTCAAATCATGGCACAAGGAAACGTTTTGAACATAAAAAATGGCACAAACCTCTCTTCCATGGCCACTGTCAAAGCAGTTCTGAATGTCCTGTTCAACTTCCTTCAGTCCTTGACAACAAGATCTCCAAATTTCTTCCTTTTCGTGAATGGGTCCCTTTGAAGTTTCCTTCATCAGGCAGTGAATGAACGTAAAATGTTTCGTCTGTAGCAGATTTACAGTGGAGAATAAGAGCACGCAAAATATACATCTACCTTATCTAAATGAGCAAACAACTTTTACCACCCAAGGTTTGCCTTAATAACCCTTTTACACCCAAAAAGTTTCAAATTAGCACTTTCCCACCCAAAGTTTTTATTCCATTAATACCCAAAACACACTTCACTCTCTCAATCAGCATTTGGCGAGTTACCAGGAGCCAGGATAAAATGAGTTTCGTAGAGTGGAGGCCGGTGGATCGAATGATGGTGATTGATTGAATATTCGCCGCTGAAATTAGCTAAAAATAAGAAACCTTTGTTTTGCGGTGGTCGACAATCGGCGAAAAATCAAGTGTTAGAGTGAGAGGAATTTTGTATAGAAGAGATCGTAGGTTCAAATTGTGGTGATGGAGATAATTTTTGCGGCCAAAATCAACTTTGGGTAGTAACGGAGCATTAACTTTAGGTGTGAAAGTAGTATTTTGAAACTTTTTGGGTGAGAAAGGTCATTAAGGCAAACCTTGGGTGGTAAAAAGTCGTTTTACTCTATCTAAATTCCTATAGCTTTATCACATGTTTCAGATTTATAGATAAGTTTTGAACTATATAAATGGCAGCCTCGCTTCAACTTTCACCAGAAAAAGGAGAAAAGTAATCATACCAAATTAAGATACTTACTGCAACTAAAAAGTGTATAAAAATGAAAAAAGAAATGGATACTCTGGGTGCAGGTGCAGCCAGTGAGTGAATTGGTTGTGTAACATATTTTTTGGAGTATTGAAGAGAGGAAGCCTGTCTTACTGTGTCAGGCAAGGCTTCAATGGCACAGGCATGTATAGTGTTGAAGTAGCATTCATCTTCGCCATGCTGCAAATGGCAGATACAAATCAATTGAAAGAAACCAAAGGAGAAAAAAAATGGAGCATTTATATGTAAATCAAATGAGGATGAAAGATATGTAAATATGACCTGGCAAACAATAGTATTGTTTGGATCTGTGGTCTCAGCATTGCCCCAGGGGACTAGCTTGAGATTGACAATGTCAATGAGATCCAAATCAAAGACATCCACTAGATATTTTAATATGAACTCAGCACTCCCTGGACATAAGGACTCATAGTACAAAGCTACATTGACCCTATCATCTTCTTTGGTTACAGGAACAACAATAGCATCATCATATTTCAAAGAAGAACAAGGTGAAGGAAAGAATGTCAACAGCAGAGAAATGAAAGCAAAGAAGAATAGCAAACGAGGAGCCATTTTTGAGAGAAATATGCACATTGAAGTTCTCAGGGGTTGGGGGTATTTATAAATGCCTTAACCACACTCAGTCTGCTTTGAGCTGTCCTGTCGATTTGTTCTACTGAATGTAATGTGGAGGATAATGAGATGTCAATTCTGTGTTTTAACTTACCCAATAAGCCTGAAAGTGACTGCCACCTTCTTGTCTTCATGACATTATTATTTGAACTTTTCAGGTTTCTTCTTCATAAAATCTGAACTCCTTATTGTAGTAAAAGAGGTGTAGGCGTCATTAGTGTGTAACTTACTGAAAGTAGCAAATAAGAGGACCATCTCATCTTCTGTTACCAACCTCCAATATGACTGAGTCATATGACAGTTAATGGAATAAATGGCCATTTTTGTATTAAGTATCAAACAAATGCATGCTGTAGCTGAGCAACTGACTCTTTTAATGACTTGAATCAGTCTAGAGGCCATTAATTACTCTTCCTTGATGTGGTTCAACTGTAATCGCCTGTGGTTTTGTTGCATATGCAGATCATATTTGCTGCTGAATATTTCATCACATAGTGCTAAACAAAGAAGAATAACAGAGAGAAGTACTAATTGAGAAAATCATCTCTGCAGATTTGTCCACTCATAAAACCAAGATCATGTTTACTTACAGATATGAAATCTCACAGTTGGCAGAACATCTAAACATTCCTGTAAGACTACTTGAAGTAAAGTCTGATCCATATTACAGATACCAAATACCAATGCTTAAGACTTAAAACATCACTATATGAACTTTTTTCTTAGTCTCTTCCGTTATTGTTTCTTGCCGGTAGCTAGCTTTAATGTTTCATTAAATATTATTTCTGCCATGAAAGACAAATTTAGAAGAAAAAATGTATGACTATTATTCTTAATGAAGATGTAAAGTTCATGGACAATGCCATTTAAAGAAAAGGTATCTTTCTCCTTTTTTAAAGAAAAAACAAAACTTGGCTTGTCATGTTAAATAATTCCCACTTTGAATAAGCTTAAACAATATTATTTTAAGTACCTTCCAACCACCCTTTGTTGAAAAAAGAGTTCTTGTGCCCAATAAATTACCTGAGCTTTGAGCAGTAACCAGATCAGAACTAGCCTAATTTATGAACTTTCAGGAAACAGCACATTGTTTGTATCTCTAGAAAGAAACCATGCCAGCTGAGTTCACAGTTTTCTCAATGATCTCATCCATTTTTGGGCATCCACTGTGATTTCAAGTTGACTTCTGCTTTGGCAACTGAGTTTGAGAAGCTAAATTCCCACTCAAACTTACACAAAAATACAAGGTACTAAAAAATTCTGCCCTATCGTTGCTTTTGTTATGAAGTTCTTGACCTTGCTGGTCAAGAATAAAATATCAAAGAAGAATTAAAAATATTTTTTATGTATTTCACCATCATTGCGTAGCAGAAGTATGTCTTTCACATCAGTACTATATTTAAACAAAGTAATTAAATTAAACTTTCACGTTGTTGACTTCTTGTTCCTTATTTTTTGTACAATAAGTTAGCTTCATGAAGTTGAATGATTAGTTAAATGTCGAATCACCTCCATAATTAAATGCAAAGTGGGATCAAAATGCCTGATTGTTTTTTGTTTCATGACCAATAAATGTGCTGCAATTTGATAAGAACATCCAGAAAGATTGAACAGCATATTCATGTGGTAGTGGTACACATATCTTTCAAAGAGATCCTAAAAAAGTATTGATGTTTATCGAAGGGAGCGTTCGGGATTTTGTTGGTTGCTGCTGAATTGATAAAATATTCATATTCCTGGCTTTGATTTCCCTTTCAGAAGTCATTCATGCAGGACCATTATGCTACTGCTGCATAAAATGCCTTAGGCTGCTGGGACCTATTGATCCCAAAGTAGAAAGCTTGTTTCTAAGATTCCTGGATACAGTTCTGAGGCTATCCCACTATAGACATACAAGATATATGTATATAAACAAATTTATAATTCATACTGCTGGATGAAGATAACAAAAGTTACCCTTTACAAGCTATATCATTTTATCAATATTTCTTCATATAACCATACTATGCAAACTGGCCTTTCAATTTTTATATCAGGTGCTTCCGCGAAGGGTGTTTGAACCTCGACATTCTCTTTGCCCGACTTGCCTCCTGGGCTGAATGGGTCCCAGGTAAAGGAGATTTGCAGGCATTGGGCACAGCAGTGCCTTTGTAAGCATTGCACACATAGGTTGTAAAATTTCCATAGTCCTGCATCAGAAATTTTGTAGTTGTTGCTGTTGTTGTTGAGGGAGAGAAAGAACCAACGATTACAAAATTACCTCTCTAATTGGTTGATTATTCACCACCACCCATGGCACAAATGTGCCTGGTGGAATAAGATGAGCAGTCTCATTTCCATATTGAAGTGCAAACTGCTTGTCAATAAATTCAGCATTAGACTAATTCTTTAGCGAATGAAACAACACAAAATTATGAATCAGCAAGTGTTTTTATTACTGGCCTGTGTTCCATTTCCACTATTATAGCAATCCAAGACAGGTTTCGGAGGTAATCCCAATGTGTCGAAACAAGTACTCCAGTCCTTGTGCCTTCCCTCAATGGCTAAAAACTCAATGCAGTAAATAAAACCATAGTATTTGTTCTGCAACATCAAAATCTAAGTAAGATTAAATGGAAATTATATCTACCAGCTATAAGTTCCAGCAGCATATTCCATCAACATTACTGTAGTAACATTAACTAGTTATCCAACTCTAGGATTCAAGGAAATTATGAAAGAGAAAGCTAGCTCTACCAAATTATCATTCCACACGTTGATGGCACAAGCTTCAACTGTATTTAACATGCATTCTTCTGGGCCATGCTGCAAAATTCGATGAAAGATACAGGTCATAATGTTGAAAACAAACAGATTGCAAGGTAATCCAGAACTTAGATTGATGATTGTGGCATGCCATGCTCATTATCACCATGCATATGTATGTCAGTTCATGAGAAAGTTTAATGGACCACAACAATTACAACAGTAACATAACCCTTCACTTTCTTTCTTTATTGAAAAAAGAACAAGGTAAAAATTCTAAAAATTGGAATGGGGGAAAGGAGATAGTGGGTCCATGGTGAATAAACGTAATAATTATATTGTTTAATATGTCTGGAAACACCTAAAAATAAAGCACATTTTCCTGTACTCTCCTCAATTTGGGAGCTCTCAAGTCTCAACTTGGCCTCTTCAGGCCAGAATGTAGATCATCTGCTAAAAGTTATCAGATTTTTTTAATAAAACAAAAGTAACCAAAAAAAAAAAAAAAAAATGAAAAGAAAAAAGAAGAGAAAATGTTAATCATAAAGTTTCTAAATGTTTTTTCCGTTACTGTCAGATTTGTGAGCTATCAAAAGCATGATCAAGGTTTGTTCCTCCTAACTTCTTGGGAGATTAAACTGAAGCTGCAACAGTACTGACAGGTGAAAAAAGTTTAACAAAACGACATTGTAAGAGAGAGCAATGTCTTGCTTCATTTCCATGCTACCTTGAAATCAAAAGTATGCAAAGGAAATTAAATCCAAACAAAGAGGGTGAAGATGAAAATGTGACCTTACAAACAATGGTCTTGCCAGAATTGTTGGTGTAAGCATTACCCCACGGGACCATCCTGAGGTTGATGATGGAGATGAGATCATTGTCAAATACAGTTGCGAGATTCTGAACGATAAAATTTGAACAATTTGGATTCAAGGTTTCATAATAAAGTGAGAGATTAACTTTTTGAGGATTGCCAAAGGGTAAAGCCTTAACATCAATGTTAGAGCAAGAAGAAGCAACATGAGATGGAAACATAAGCAAGAAGAAGAGCCAAGTGATAGTAGTTGGGAAGACTAATTTGCAAAAAGCCATTTTTTAGAGCATAGACAAAGAGCAATTCATAGTATGTTTATAAATGAATATATAGCTGGAGAAACTATTCACTGGTCTGTATTTTGAATGTTGTAATCTGACAACAATGCCCTCTTTTTCAAATTGTAATTCCATAGTGATTGACAGTGACTATCATGCCAAGCTGTTCTGTGATCATTTCTTGATTTATTTTCATACTATTTGGAATAGTTTCTTGTCCTTATAAAATATATAATCAGAATGCCCGGAAAGCATTAGGAATAATACTGAAGGTTTTTAGGCAGGAGAATCCTAAGGAAAAGCACTGCTATTAAGTTGGCAAACGCTGAAAAAACTGCATACGGGAATTGTATCACTTCATTGAACAATAATGCAAATAATATACACGGTTTTGCACTGCTGTTACACCTACTCTGCAGCAGATTTACAATCAAAATAAATCAGCCATACTTTGCTAACTACTACAGACATATCACATTACTAAGCACCTAACCAGCTGATTTACAGCTGAATTCACCTAAATTAACACTACATTGATTAAAAGATTCAGCTCCAAAGAGTTAAAGCAGAACCAAAATACTACAGCAGAAATTTAAAGTTTGCCGCCAACCTTGCAGCATCAGATTCCAAAAATTGACATCTTAGATGCAGTTTCCAGCATAATATCAGCTTGATCAACAAATACTTTACTTCATAATTTAAAGGGATATTAAATGAGATTTGTGGTGGATGATGATTTTGGTGCATTCCAAGTCTATTCTCCATAATTTCCTGTGTGTTTCTGTAATTAGAATGTTGGGTTGGCCCTGATAGTTACTCTCTATGACAGTTCATATCAAAGTAGAAATCATCAACTTGTTACAATTCACACGATATTGGTCAAATTACTATATAAGTTTCCTCACTCAAGAAGATGATTTTCCGCAAATTTAACTTGTACTGCACCCTTCTCCTGTAATTGATTTTGGTCATATCATAATTTCAATCCTTCCTGAATTGGTTGCAGCAAGAGTTGGTTAGTGCATTAGATTCCTTTTACACTGCATTTAAGTGCTCAGCGACTCCTTAATAACTAGACCACCTGTTCCACAGTATTGTGAATATTTCAACAAATCTGAAGCTTAGGTGGGAATTAAATATGGAATGGAGAGAAAGTCTAAATTTTGCAATAATATTTGATTGTGTCCTGGTTTGCTTAAAAACTTATTACAATATCTAATATTTCTAACTAGTTAATTACTGCACCTGTCCTGAATTAAGCTGCTTCATTCTTGGAATCGTACTGAAAAATCCTCCGTCGGATAGATGACTTATGAATGGAGCCTAGAACAATTGTGAGGACATGCAGTGAGGATTTTATTTTTTATTTTTTTTATTATTGTTTTGTTTTCTGATGTAGATGGTAATAATAGATCAGTAGCAACCTTCATCAGCCCGCAGGGCTGTGATAATATAGCCCCTCTGGAAATCTTAAGGAGCTAAATGGAGCAAGAATAAATAATTCTACAAGATTTTCCCTGAACACAAAACTCAATGAATCAAGCTATAATACTCAAAACATTATCAGGCTGCACATTGCAGGAAAAACATAATATTCATTTACAGGAACAGCTAGACTCAGAATGTGGATCAACTATCAAGATGCAATTCTAGCCAAATCAGTTTCTTCATTCCATCGCAAAGCAAGCCAATCTGAACACTATAATTCATCAGTCCTTTATTCAATTTACACTAGTTGACCAGCAATGATAAAATCTAAGCTCTTCATACAATGAGTCTATGAAGAAATCATTGTTCTTGAAATTTCTTTTCTTCGAGACTGCGTTTTACGATGCCTAGCTTTTCACCTCACCTGCATAGCACACTGAGCTAGTGGTATCTGCTTTCTCCAATACACTGGTCCTTAGTGGAAATGATCTACAGGCCTCCGGTACTTGAGTGCCTTTATAAGCTCTGCAGAGGTAGCTTACAAAATTCATGTAGTCCTGCACCCACAAGAAGATTTTTGAGATATGAAGCTAGTAAGAGCGATGTGAGAGAGCTCAAACACCAGAGACTAACCTCTTGAAGTGATTGATCATTCACAACCACCCATGGCACAAATCTATGTGGTGGATTAAGCTGAGCAGTTTCAGTAGCATATTTCTGTTCCAGCTGCACATTGTAATGCAATTACTCTCAGAAGTAGCTGATAATGCCAGTAGAGATTAACAAATAAAAGATGGAACTTCCAGTCCCAGATCAAAATTTTCATAAACTTTAAACTAACCAGTTTTCCATTTCCATTTCTGTAACAATCGATGGGCACATTACCCAACCTTGTTATCTTAAAACAATCCATCCATTCAGCCTGCCTTTTCTCCAACAAGAGGCGCTCAACACAGTGGATAAAACTGAAATGCTGGACCTGCATTGAAATTTTATCGATAATGTGTGTCACGGGGAATTCCCATAATTGCTTTCCAATTTGGACCTTAAGTTTAGCTTTTTCTTTGGTAGTGCAAAGAATCTCTTTACAAGGTGCTATAATTGATAGCTGAAAACCAGCTTTCATTATAATAAGTCAAACTTAATTTTGTCACAATTAAACTTACGTTACCATCCAAAACGAAAATTAGAGAAAAAAATTTAAAATATTTGATTTTTGAATGTTGTTTGGATATTTTTGGGAGCTGAAGAGGCTTACCACATCAGGATAGATGGATATTGTGCAGGCTTCAATGGTGTTTAGCAAGCATTCCCCTGGACCATGCTGCAAAAACATTTTCAAATGAAATGATTCAACTTAACAGAATCAATAGAAAACCATCAGCCGGAAAATGCTTCAAGATTTTGTGACACTGCTCAAAAAATTACTAAAACTATGTCGATTAACCATCCTGTTTTTAACATTAAGGGGCAAAAGAAAATAGTTAACTGGATAGATGAAGATAAAAATGTGACCTGACACATAACAGTGCCATCAGGTTGTATGAAAGCATTGCCCCATGGGATCAAACGAAGATTAACTATAGAAATAATGCCATTCTGAAACAGCTTCACCAGATGGTTTACAATGAAGTCTGCACAATATGGGCACAGAGTTTCATAGTAAACAGACAGAGTCACATTTTGACCACAGGACGGAGAGACCAATAGCAGCAGAACAGAAGCAATAAGCAAGAATATGAACTGCTTTTTAGAAGCCATTGGTGAGTTCAAAGGACATGCTATGAAGCAACTGTGTGTTTATGATACTCATGTTCTTTGTTTTTGCTCTGGAGTTGCTCTCAAAGCATTGAAAGTAACTAATTGATACACTTTTTCACTTTTGCTTTTTCAGCTTCTTTTTCTCTTTATCTTCTGCACACAAACATGAAAATTACAAATGGATAAATGATTATATTAGCAATAATATTTAGAAAGCATGTTTGAAAAGCAGAAAAAAGAACTCTTCATGACTGCATTTAGTGTTTTTGGTACTTTATAAAACATGTAATCAAACAGACATTATTCCTCTACTCTGGTGCCTTGATTAAGAACAAGGGCAAGTGTGTAGGACCAACACCAGATAAAGAACATCAATAATGGACTTATTTTTTTTTTTTTTAGACTGGTTTGTGATAAGGCTGGCTAAAGATCTTCAGGGTCCTACATGATTTGATTAATTACACCTTACACTTGATCTTCCAAAACAATTGCTTTCGGTGGTTTCTACTTTCTATATTTCCTGTGTCTTCATGTTTACTATTAGAGGTGTTAAAAAAAAATGCAGAAACCAAACTGGTAACTAAATTGGTTCAGTCTCGGTTTAAAGAAATACAAAAATTAATTTTTCGATTCGGTTATCGGTTTACGAGAATATGGGAATCGGTTTACTATAAAAATATTACATTAAAATATAAAATAAAAAAATCTGGTTTATTATAAAAATATTAAATTAAAAAATATATTAACTAATGGGTTAACCGGTTTGTGAACCAATGTTCTTGTTAACTGGTTTGGTTTCGATTTAGGAAAATTCTTGAACCAAAAACCCGATTCTATTAACCGATTTTGAATACCCTGTTAAATATCTCTTCCATCACTCAATTAGCAAAGTGCTTTTAGTAGAAACCGGCTTTGTTGGGCCTAATAGAGAAAGTTAACGAGCCGTAACGGGCCCAAATTTGGCCCAACACACTCTCAGTCTCACCCACACACTCTATCATCATCTTCAGAGATCTCCCTCCTTCCTCCATTTTCAACATTTCTTTCAGTCTCTTTCCTACTCTAAACCAAACCCTAAACCCTAATCTTCATTCTTCAATGGCTTCAATCAACTTTAACCCCTTCGAAAACTGGTTCAATAAACCCTCAAACCCTCTCTCACCCATCAATCTCCACTCATTCACCCAGCCTTTCTCATTCTTCTCCAACAAGAAACCCACCACTCCAAATTTTGCTTCAATTTCATCAAACTTCTTCAAATCAAAGTCCCCAAAACCCCAACCCGACTCGGAACCGGAAAAGCCCGGATTCTACAAGCAATTGATGGAGCAATACTTCTGGGAATGCGAGAACCTCCCCGATTACCGCCACACTCCAGAAGTTGAAAAAATCCTGAGCGAAGACCCGATTTTTGAGAAAAAGGAGAACCCGACCGAAGAAGAAATTAAAGAAAACGAGGAGTGGTGGAATGCGTTTCGGACCAGCCCGTTAGTCCAATTTTTAAGCCGAGCCGAGGAGATAAGGGATCATATTAATGAAATGGAGCTCAAAGCGAATGATACTCCGTATAGAAGAGAGGACAAGAAGCTGTGGCAAGCTCTCCCGCATGTAATCGGATTGGACGGCCGGCCGATGCCGAGAAAGGCGATAAAAACGAGAGAAGAGAGTGATAATAAGTTTTGGGATTTTATGAAGCAGTTCTTATTTGGACTTTGGGGTTTCAGACAACGGCCCTATCCGCCGGGCCGGCCCGTCGATGTTGCTCAGGCAATTGGATACAAGCGGCTGGAGAAGCGTTACTATGACTGTAAGTTTACTAACTCGTGTTAGTTTTATTTATTTATGTTAATTTTTTACTGAATATTGTTAGTTATTGTTGGTTGATATAGTTATAATGAGAAGTGGAGGCTGGTACTATAAGGATCGGTTGGGGCGGACGAGGGGGCCGCTAGAGCTGATAACGCTTAAGACTGCTTGGGGTGGCGGGATTATTGATAAGGATACTTTCATATGGGGCGAGGACATGGATGAATGGGCGCCAATTCACATGGTTTATGGCTTGGAAAAGGCCATTGCTACTTGGGAAGGTTTGTTGGATTTATTTATAAAGATGTTTGCTGTGAACCTTATAGCATTAATGTACTGATGAGAGTGTTTTTTTTATGGATGATTTAACTTAAAATCTTATGATGAAAGCAATCATTCAACTTTCAAAAAATATTACATGAGTTATTTCTTTAATGATCTCAAGCCCACATTGTTTAAAGTTATGCTACTCACTGCCTAAAGTTTTTTTATCCATTCCCTCGTTTGCAAAATGAGAGGTTAAGATAAAAGAGAAATTATTTTAGGAAGGATGATTTCTTCTTTTCTCGAAGCATTTTTGTGGATAGATTTATAATTTGTTATATTTGCTATACCTTCTATTTTGTGCAGAGGGCTTTAATGATATGCAGCTTTTTTCTTTCCTCTATTTTAAGTTGATTGTATTTTTAGTGGTTTGGTAAAAACATAATTTTTTTACTTTTAATTGATTCTTAGCTTGTGGTTGGGTGTTCTTCAGTTAGGCTTGGTGCTGCAGCTACAGCTTTCCTTCACAAACTCCAAAAAGGTATGGCTCCTTGGGTTCCTCTTAAGGGACGGGAAAAGAAAACCTATAAACAGCTCCAAGAAGAAGCTTTGGAGAACCGGAGACGTGATTTAGCAGTGCTGAAAGCTAATGATGGTGTTTGGCCAGGAGTTAGAATTCCTAGTTATGCGCTTTTTCTTTGGGCTAGTGGCTCTGAACTAACTACAATATTGGAATCTGACCACATGCCAAACAAATTCATTCCAAAAGATCTCAGGTATTGCTGAACTTTTCTATTTCTCTTTGTCGCAATTGCCGTTAATGATTATCATTCTGCTTATTGGTAAAGAAATGCAGTATTGATGCAGCTGAATAGTCTCTCAAGTTGTATCTAAAACAACTTTGCAAATATGATATACAAACTTAATCACTGAGCTAATTTAGTTGCTTGTGTGAGATAGGATCCAATTGTCAAAAATTATCCCCGGTTTAAGGCCATGGGAGGTTCTAAGCATTGAGCAAGCCATGGATCAGATCACATATAATGGAGAGTGGTACCGTGAACCACTTGGTTGCTTCACAACAGGCCCTCCTTACATCAAAAATTGGAATGAAGATGCTATGGTACAGTTTTTGCTTCTTCCAGTTTTGTTTCAAGTGTTTAATTGTTTTAGCTTGGCACTTAGTTCACTTGCAAATTCTATGGAGGTCTTTGCAATGTCTACACATTTTTTTCCTAAACCTCTTAGGACGTCTTTGTAGATCCCTGCAAATTCAAGTGCACTGTAATTATGAGCCTGGTTGATGCATGTGCCTTATATGACCTTACTGTGTTTTGTGCTTGCAGGAATTGCTTCAGGCATACCATGAACTCAGCACCCTAGTTTATGAAAAATTGTGTCAGACAATTCCTGGTTTCCGTACTGTGATGGAGAAAGTTGAGGTTGATGCTGAAGCAAGAGAGGCCAGAAGACAGAAGTTGAGGGAAGCAAAGAGGAAACCCTTTGGCCAGGATGATCCTTAGACTCACTATAATATCAAAGTTTTGCAAGCTTGACCGGTAGTTGCTCATTGCCACAACTCAAATGCAGTCTTGCTTCCCGGCGACTTTTGCTGGGATTACCTATCATCTTTCTTCTAAAACCAATGATGATTTAGATTTAGATTTTCTTCCAGATATAGTGATAAATCTAATCTGTAGCCGTGACCACTTCTGAAACTGAGAGCAGAAGCATTTGTATATCATATTGAACTCTTCTCAATGCTGAGAAATATAATTTAGTATTCAACAAAAACGAATGTAGCCATATATTTGGTTTGTTGTGTGTGAGCATTGATGTCATGTGATAGTTTAGAAACTTTGAATGGAGAAATGAGTTGTTTTTTTTTTCATTGCAAATAGAAAGCAACAGAAATTATTGTTCCCAGTTCCCTGTTCTTACTCTTTAACTCTTGAATTGAAGTGGGCATTATTCCTCAATTGAACATGTTACCATAGCTAAACCAGGACTTCACAAAGTTTCTGAAAAAACCAACCGCATATATAAATACGTCTCTTGATTAACTGGTTGTATAAAAACGGATTCATGAAAGACTTTTGCCATGCCATATATGTATATTTTTCTTTGATATGGCACCTGTTTATGTGTATTTGGGGGCTTCAACAATTGCTGACAAAGCGTATTGAATGGTATTTAGTTTAGTAAATAAGTGTTGCTTAAAAAGAAAAAACAGCTCCTCAGCTGTTAGAAAACTGTGGATTCTTATTGTTAAGAGAAACAAAACGGATAGGATTATTCCCACGGAAACGTTTTCTTTTCTACCGACCTAATTTCGAGATCATAGTATACATCCTAGATCGGTCAGGGTGAGACACGTGTCCTGCCTGCAATGGTAGATCTTACTTTGATAGACAACAACTAGGGAATACGTGTAATAAACCTATAGCTTCCTATTAAACAACCCTTTGAACACAGACGTTTGTCCCACTGGCTATTATAAATAATTCAACCCATTGACTAAACAAAATCCAACCGAAAAAATATGGAAGATAGTGTTCCACTTCCAGGAGGTGAAAGCTTATTGCATCCAGAAAATCCCAGTTCAATAGCTGAGATCAAAGAAGCTGAAGAGATTGACAACAACAAAAACGAAGCTAAAGGAGGAGGAGAGAAGCCAAGTGGGTTCATAAACAATCTAATCTCAAACTTGGTCACTGCTGACGAAGATGATGAGCAGAGAGAAACAGTGGCTGAAGGAAAAGGTGAAGAGAAAGGAGGTGGGCTATTAGACCATCTTCTTTCTAACTTGGTCTCTCCTTTGAGCCCCAAAGCAGGAGATATCGGTCAAGAAAAAGGTACTCAACCTTTCAAAATCAATGGAAACGAAGATCAGTCTGGATCAGAGGAACGTGTAGCCAGTAGTCCAAGTAGTGGAGGGCTCATCAAGAACGTTATCTCAAATTTCTTTCACCACCCAACTGAAGCTGATGAAGCAAAAGATCAAAACGAGAAGAACAGCGAAGAAGAAATAGTGAAAATTGCAGAAGAAAATCATCACAAAAAACTAAAGACAGAAGAGAGTGGTGGAGTAAGCATCATTGATAACATTGTCTCTCACTTGCCAACATCTCTTCGAGGTAAAATATGACACAAATCAATCTTCTTATTACTTCTTTCAGATTAATATATTTTCATTTAGATTTCATATTATTTTTGCGTTTCTTTATGTTTATATATATGAACAGAAGATGTGGCACCAACAGCTGATGAAGCCGCCATTCTAATTCATTCAATCATCCACGATTAGAAGAATCAAGACTGATTAGTTTAGGGTTCTTGATTGATTTGGTCTGCCAGACTTCTGAAACCTATTGTATTTCGTTGTGTTTTTTTTATGTGATTCGGTGGTCAACGTTGTTTTCAATAGGTTAAGCTGTGAATTGAGCTTGTGTTTGGTAACTTTTGATTCTTGTTATTAATTTGTTGTAATGTAAAGATTTCATTATATGAGCTATGAAGTTGTATGTTCAGCTTCAACAGAAGTAATGGGTTCTATGAATTTGGTTTTTCAAGTTCGGCAACCTATGACTACCCCTAAGTAGGGGTGTAAATGGTGTTCAAAAGAACCAGTTGGAATCGGAATCGGAGGGTATCTAGGGTTTGATTCCAGTTCCTACCCAGAACCGATCATCAATGGGTAGGTTTCGATTCCAAATTTTTGGAACAGTTACTGTGGGGTTTCAGTTCCGGTTCCTACAGTTAGGAACCAGGCACCAAGACTAATATTAAAAAAAAATAAAGATTAAGGGGGTTAATAAAAACTTTTGTAGAAAAAGTAATGTGAATACATTTATATTTATATTTATATTTCATAACATTTAAAGTAAGTTGGTTTGACTTTTGAGAATCTACCTTTACAAAGTAATGGAGTTTGTAATTTTAAATTTTATTTTTGTTAACAAGTGCCAGGTGGGGGGTATTTGTAAGTTTTTAAGAGTTTTTTGCTATTTTAAAAACTTTTGGGGGGTCATTGTAATTTTACAAGGTACCCAGAATCGGAACCGAAACCATTATTACAGGTTTCGATTCTGGGTACCTAGGAACCGGAACCGTCGGTTCTAGTTCTGGTTCCAAATTTCTAAGAACCGTCGGTTTTGATTCCTTTAAAAAATATAGGGTACCCAGAACCGAACACTCTTACCCCTAAGTGGCGGGACGAAGTGATAGACACTTTTAGATATATTACTCAAAAAATCTTGAATTCGATTCATTTCAGTTAATAATAAAGTTTCGAAAGATTAGTTAAGGTGTTGAATTAACCTTAACCATATCAATAAATTATGACGGTGTAAAGGGTAACATGATATATAGATTCATATAAATATAAAGGCAATCGAGCAATTTCATGAATTACATCATTAGCTTCATGAGGAACATAAAAAAAAGACGAGTTTTGTGTTGTAGACGACAAATCAACGAACATCATCAATAATTATACCAACTTTCGATCTAGGGTTTGTATCACTTTGTAACATCTAAACCACTCCTAAAGCATCAAACTCCAACTTGATCAAAAAAAAATTATAAAAGTATAATTCTAAAGCCAAAAGAATACTATCATAACAAGCCTTACTTGTAATGCCTGCACTGCCATTACTTGACCTAAATGCACTCCACCATTTTTTACCATGTTGTAGATTATTCCTATTAGTCCATAATCTCCAACAAAGCGATAAACAGTTCAAACTCAACCACCGTTAGATGACCCAACGTTTAATTAGGATTCTTGAGTATATGCTAATAGAGGTAATCATTAAGAGGGTTTATCTGACTGTCAATTTCAGGATCCTGATAGATTAGTTGAGGTGCATGTAAACTGGCTCGAGTACCCCGATGAAAAAAAAAAAAAAAAAAAAACAGATCATCCTCGCTCTTTGACAAAGTCTTGGAAAGGTGTAAAAGCATAGAGCCGAAATCATCTGCAACAAGAAAGTAGAAATGATCCCAAAACCCAAGCAAACGCCATACAGCCCAAGCCAGACGACAGTGCCACAAAATATGGGCTTACGAAACCCTAACCAAATTTTTATAGGCAGCGGAAAAATCATGGGCCTTGCCAGTAATTTTCTATAATGGACCCGTTTAAAGCCCACATTACAACCCTACCCGACCCGGTTAATGTAAAATAAAAATAAAAACCCTAAAGTACCCCCAGGTGATTATAAAAAGAGAAAGTAGGGTTTAGGCACCTTCTCACACCTCACACAAAGCCAGAGAACCAGCAGCCGCAGCAAGGCCGCAGCTTCAACTTTCTCAGAAAAATGGTTAGCCTAATCCTTCGCTTTGACTAACTCTTATGCTTTCACTTATACATTCTCATCTTTTGTTGGTCAGTTCATTAAACGATTCGTGTTTGTGTGACTTTGATTGGTTTGAGAAACGCATGAGAGTTTATATGTTCATGAAAAATCTTTGAACACGCCGATATTTGTATGTTGGTTATGTTAGATTAGTTTTTAGGGATTAGGTTTTAGGGCTGTTTGATAATCTGTATGTTTTGAGGGATCTTAGTGAAGCTTCTTATCTGTGGAACATTTGATATGATTATGTTTAAGTTTAATGGAAAATTGCATCGATTCTTTAAAACTATGTCGTTTAGAAGGACAATACACAAACTCAATTACTGTTCTTGCGAGTGTTGGAGAGTTTTAGTTGAGAAGTATGAACATTTTGATGGTGGGATCTAGCCTAATGTTTGCACGGAAGCACTTATGTTTCTTTTGCAAACTTGCAATTTAAAAAATAAACAAGCTATTTCAAGAAGTGGACCGTTTCCATTGGGATAATTGCTAGGTATGGATAGATAGTTCATTGTTCTTGTAGTGATCTGCTCATATTATTATGAGAATGTGAACTGAAATATTTCAAACCGACTTCACCTTTCTGATGTGGCCTTCTGCCTGTTTTGTTATGTATCAATAGTTTTGTTATTGTATGTGACTATCATAGAGCAGGATGTTCAATATTTCTATAGTATACTTTTTTTTTGTGCTGAAACTCGTGTTTTTCTTGTACAGGCTAGAGGATTGAAGAAACACTTGAAGAGGCTCAATGCCCCCAAGCATTGGATGCTTGACAAGCTCGGTGGTGCATTCGTATGTTTCTTATCTTAATTCATTTGCTTTTTTCTGTATAGTTTGCACTCTATGGTTTATTTACCTGAATTCTTGTGTTGCTTGATATTGCTACTTTTGTTGAGTCTTTGTAATTGTCTGGTGTCCAGGCACCCAAGCCATCATCTGGACCCCACAAGTCCAGGGAATGCTTGCCATTGATCCTCATCCTGCGAAACAGGTTGAAGTATGCTTTGACATACCGTGAAGTTATTGCTATCCTCATGCAACGACATGTTCTTGTTGATGGCAAGGTTAGGACAGATAAGACCTACCCTGCTGGATTCATGGGTATGTGCACTTCATCTTTGTAGCTTAAAGATACATATTATTGGTTAAAATGAATGTTCTGTATTCCTGTTGTAGAACTCTTCAAGATAAATAGTGGAACTGTAGTTTCTAGTATTTGCATGGCCTTTTCTTGGTGGTGTTGTTTGTTATAAGTACAAAGACTTTAACTTCCTTTTTCTCTCAATCTTTAACAGATGTAGTGTCTATTCCCAAGACAAATGAGAACTTCCGACTCCTTTATGACACCAAGGGTCGCTTTCGTCTTCACTCCCTCAGGGATGATGAGGCTAAAGTAAGTTTATCATGTCTGTGTATTGATTATGCTTTGCTAATATTTCATATTTATTTATACATCTTCGGAATGAAAGCATGTAGACTGGTGATTATCAATCGATTCACCATGCATTTAGTGTGGTCTACCCTGGTTATTCGCTGTACTTGCTATGTGTATGTAGCTGTATGTTCTTTGCAGTACAGGAAAAGTTAAATGTTAACTTCTTGAGAATCTCATGCAATTCCTGTGTGCCTTGTGTTATTGCAGTTCAAGCTTTGCAAAGTCAAATCTGTTCAATTTGGACAGAAAGGTATCCCATACCTTAATACCTATGATGGACGTACCATCCGCTACCCTGACCCAATCATCAAGGCTAACGACACCATCAAGCTTGACCTAGAGACCCAAAAGATCACAGACTTTATCAAGTTTGATGTTGGGAATGTTGTCATGGTTACTGGAGGAAGGAACAGAGGTCGTGTTGGTGTAATCAAGAACAGGGAGAAGCATAAGGGCAGCTTTGAGACCATCCATGTTCAAGATGCCACCGGTCATGAGTTTGCAACTCGTCTTGGCAATGTGTTTACCATAGGTAAGGGAACAAAGCCATGGGTATCGCTTCCCAAGGGCAAGGGTATCAAGTTGTCTATCATTGAGGAGGCTAGGAAGAGGCAGGCTGCCCAAACTGCTGCTTAAGTTCTATGATACAATTTTCTGCTCTAGTTATTACCATTTGATGAGTGCTGGCTGCTACTGTTTTCTTTAGTCAAGGTAGGATTGAAGCTAAAAAAATGGATCTTTGTTTTTATTTATCAGCACAATTTTGAACTGTTGTTTATTTACATTAGTTACTGTTTGGTGGATATTATTTTCGTATGACTTAATCTTTTATCTAAGTACTTGTATGAATCTTTTAAATCATTTTTGGTAATGACTTTTGAGTTATCCGCTGTACCGTCTGTCTCTGTGGGCTGGAAATATATGCAGCTTTAAGTCCAAATTTTAGGTTCACAGAGATGAAATCCATTGTTTTTATGGTCCAAACGGGAGATGTTACGCGTTATACCCTGAATTAGTATCGCCTAATCTTGTGTTTTTAAACCTTTTATTATGTATAAAACCATCTTTAACATCAATTTTTTAGGTTTACCCAAACAGCTGGACTCTTGTTTGGCTACAAAACCTAGAACTGGCCAAGTTAGATGTAATGTACTCCCAAATCAAATATATGGATGATAAGTTTTTCAATTTGGCAAATCCATTTTCACTTGAATTAACAGAGAAGTGTGTTATTTAGAGGTTTTTAATAGATTCAGTGAAGTTGCTTGTAGCTGGGTTAATAAACAGAGAAGATGTCAATAGACTGGCCGATGTTCTCATTGGTTAACTTTTCACCAGTCTCTGAGCTAACAAATACCAAGTATGATAAGTTCTTTAACAGAAGAAATGAAGCATTGAATATGGCTGTAGAGCTAGGAGACAGAGCCAGTTAACAAAAAAATTTACAAGATTTATTCGGTGATATATCATTATCAGGATCATTGTGGTGGTCCAAATAAATGAACCAAGGGGCGGTTAGATATTTTTCCCTTTTCATGTCTCTAGTAATTTCGAATCAATTCCCTTATCTTCTCCACCTAATATAGTTATTTTACGAAATGAAACTAACCACTGCAGAGAACTGAAAGTGCAATATCTGCATAACACACAACAGAACCAGCTAATAAAATCTTAGTGGGAAGAACTTAAGTTTGTAAAAATATGTTATGAAGAAGCAGTTGGAGAGTGGAGACTGAATACTACCAGAAATTGTTGCATTACTTGCTACTACTAGCCGTACCCAGAAGATTAAATAACAACATTGAAAGTGATATCGAAAGAATCCAATGATCTAAGTGTGCTCTAACCAATTCTTTTTCATGTGCTTAAATTAATTAACCTCATTAGCAATGTCATCACTCTATTATAATCACCATTATAATATGATTAACGAACACAAACACAAAGCCACTCAAAGAAAAACCAAACCAACCGTTTGACCAGGGACCCATTTCTACTTTCTTTGAATACAATAGAGTTGAGAATCTTTGCTAGAGGGCTAAGTGAGGAGAAAAAATCCAAAAGGATGCTTCCTACTCACTGTCCATTTCTTTTCAATTACTACTTATTGCTCTACCAAAAACCTCTCTGAATTGATCAGTCTTCATGTTTTGATCTTTCATTGAATAAGTTTGAATGTCCCACCATTTCTCAAATGACATATCCGCCCTTGTTCTTTCACAGAATAATCTAATCTCTTACTCATGTTTCACCTAAAAGCTTGAACCAGTTTAACCCATTTGGCCATGTGAATTTTGATCTTGTTAACACCAAGTTAATTAGATAAAGGTGCTTCATTAATACACAGAGGAAATGTTTTTGAGGCTAGAAACTTCAACTTAAGTCCATGATGTATTAATCTTAAAACCATCTTGAAAGGACATAAGAGTCTTTGCATTAAAACTGAAAGGGTGAAAACGTTAGAATCCAAATTTTGAGTAGATGATAAAAGGCACCCCTGTCTTGATAAGTGTTGGTTTGTGCTAGGTCGGATGTGTTTTGTTGTTTAGCTTTGAGACATTATTTTATGATTGAAGACAAGCTGGGACTAGTAAAAATTGTGCATATAAAACGAAGAGAAAGAAGAAACTGAGTGGACAAGCTATGTGAAGATGAATAAGTGGAGAGACTGGCTATGCTTCAAACAATTATTTCTCTTTCCAGCAAAGCGCATTCTTCTCAAGGTTACTTCAGGCTTTATACACAAGAACAAAGGTAAAACTATATTATGCCTTTTAAGATTATAAAATTTTGATGGGGTGACTTGTCTTATTTCATCCTCTTAATGGTTAACTAAGTTCTTTCTTATGGCGACTATGGCAGGTAACAGGGCTGCGCTTCTGAGTCTTTACAAGGACATGGAATCGTGTCGAGAATATGAAGATATACAAGTGATGTGGGCGATGATTCATTCTTCTTGTCCTCAGAATTCTTGTAATACTAGAAGGAACAAGAGGCCTAGACCTTTCTGTTTTCCGTTCTGTGGCTAAAGGCATTATATGAACTGATGCAACCACCCTTTCTAGTTTCTCTTCTAGCTTTGATTGGTATAGATTTTCCCTCTTATGAGAAGGAAAATAGCAAAGCAGGAATCTTATTATCCTTATTGTCATGTAAATATCAGGAGCTGAATAAAGACTATAGTTTGTGTTGAGTTTTCAGTTGTTTTTAAATAAACTCCAGGGTGGGTCATAAGCATATTTAATCAAATATGCTTCCAAGTTATTCTATCAAGGGCAATAGACAGAAAACAAAGGAAAAAAAGAAAAAAAAAAAAATACAAGGCTACTCTTTGAAAAGGTCTTCCTTAAAACTTTATTAACTTAAACTATTGATACAATAAGTAGATGAATTGATTCTAAGCTAACACTATTACATCACTCACACAACAACTCTCAACGGATAAGCTCAATCTCTCATCAGCATTACTACTCAAAATTTTGACTAGAAATATGAGAAAGGAAGGCGGCTATTGAGTACTAACTTGACATACTACTATTTCAGTTTATTATTCTCAACATACTGAAATTATAAGGTAGAAGCATTCCAGAATTTCTGCAGCAAAGGATGGCACCAACAAAATGTAGCATTCTGTTTATTCATCATGCAGCATCACCCTCTCGGAGGAGCATTTGATCAAAGTGCCACACTCCTGCAATATCGAAAATTATGGACAGATTAGTGGACATGGAAAAGAAGGTACTTCCATTTGCTGCAAAATTGTTCGAATGCTATTGAACTCAATGGAACAAAACGGATTAATATACAAGTAAATGATATAATATGATTCATACCGTGGCCTTTTCCAACCATTCTCAATTGGGCAATGAATTTCGCTATCTTATTAATGGCTTCCACCTGTCAAACAAATTAAGTCTGTCAAACTTGAGTCTTTGAAATGATACAGAAATTGTCTCTCCGAAACAGCTGTTTTGGGTTCGAATTTAGACACAACAAGAAACTGAAACGCAAGCTCACCTGCTCGGCTAAATATTCAGTCTCAATAAAATCTGCCAGTTGAGGATCATTGTTGCAGACTGCCACCTATTTTTTTTATCAACATCAGAATACAGTTCATTAGAAGGACCACAGATGAACAATTAAGTTCAGTTGCAGGCTCAAAATACCCTCAGTTACAAAAAAACCAAAGGGGGTCAAGATGAATTACATTGTGCAGGCTCAGGAGCTTCTCATTTGTTAACTTCTCCAGAGACAATGCTAATTCCATGGCTGAATCAACAAAACCAAAGAAATTAACTTCAACATTAATTGATTTAGTAACTAAAAACCATAGGAAGTAAATTCAAATATTTAATAGACAGACCAATATTATAACAAGCAAATACATATGGGTCATTTGTTTAATTATTTTTGCACTATCATATCCCTGTCATACCACACATTTGTTTTCCTATTTTAAAAATCATATTTTATTTTATTCAATTATTTTTAAACATCATCTAATTTGTTAATTTAACTAAACACAAAAGAAAAAAAATTCAAAAATTAACAAAAACACCCTCACCCCCACCCACCTTTTCCGATTCTAGCCACCATCACCAACTGGTGGTTAGAATCTAGTATAATAGCGCATTACTGACTGGATCTGACCGATAATGCGCTGATCTATCATTTTCCGACCAGATTCAACGTGGATCTGATCGAAAAAGGCCATCTCGACACACGACCAACTAAATCCAGCTGATTGTGCACTGATATAAAGACTCCGGCCACCATCCAGCAGTAGTGACAGACTGCCGTATTCAATGGGTAGGTGAGGGTACTTTTTGTAATTTTTAATATTTTTATTACAGGGATGCTTTTATTAATTTTTTAATTCTAGCTCGCCCCAAAACGGACCCATCGTATCTGATGTTGACCTGAAAATAGAATACTTAAATTAAGAAAATTGTATCTTACCATACAATGCATCTCCTTTCTCTGCATGCTCAAACTCCGAGGGGGCCATCAGAATAGAGTGTAGCTTTACTTTCCCTCCACGCAGATTCTAATTAAAAAATCCCAGGAGCAACATTAGACATTTCCAAAAGCTAATATTTTATTTACAACCAAGAGAACAGAAAACTGGAAAATAAAAAAAGAACCTGATATTCCATCAGCTTTTCAGCATGTTCTCTTTCTTCTTCACTCGACTCCTTGAAAAATCTGATTATATACAACAAAAAATATTCATCAGTTGTTGCAGTTAAAAAATGGAGACAAATTAAAGTAAAGGAATATATCGGGGTTAATTTGAATAATTACTTGGCCAGGCCCCTGAGAGCAATATTATCTCGGTCGAAATATGCATACAGGGCGTGGTACACATAAGAAACATTGTATTCAACACTGCAAAAAGTGCCAAGAAACACGAATAAATAATCAATTGGTGAGGAAGAAAAAATGAAGAGAAAACAAGATAGCCTTTACAAAAACGATTTCAAAAGAGAACAGCAACCCACTTGATTTGCTCATTTATTGCGGCTTCACACTCCCTGGAAAACTTCTGCCTGGCAAGTGAAACATCAGGAGCAACAGGAATATCAAGAACCTCTTTCTTCACCTCTTCAAATGGCTCAAACACTACGCCTGTAAGTGGCATATGGTTGGTATCAATAGAAGCAGAAACTTTGAAACTTTTCATTCTGGTCCTCAAATTCAGATTAGAAGAAGAAGATGATGATGGTAAGTTGCATGAACCAACAAAGGAAGAACTCAACATGAGAGTATCCCCTTGCTTTGCTACAAGAGAAGAAGAAGCTGAAACGGGTTTCGAAAACATTGTAATGGAGTCTGA